AAAGCTGAATCACTGATCACGATTCGGATCTACATGTACTTGAAACAGACAGACGCTAACTTTCCAGGATGCCCTTAGATTGGAGAGTGGGTACGAGCGGACGTGTCAGGGAGCCAGACAGTCCAGATGACTGTTTCTACACAGAACCTAGGGACCTAGGCTAACAGCAGTAACTTCAAGCGGCTGTGCACTAAAATTGAATGGAGGGGTGGAGGGGATATGGTGGACGATGTGATGAGGATTTTTGACACTTACTGAGGGAGAAGCCCGCTGAGGCTGGCCCTGATGTAGTGACCGTCGTCGCCTTGCCGAGCAAAGATCCCAGGCTATTGGAGGAATTGATGGCTGTTGCACCGAAGGCAAATCCTCCCCCTGAAAGACAAATACAGAAGAAATTAAAATCTTCCAAGATACCAAAAAAAAAAATTCCTCTTCTCATAAACCACATTGGGATGGCTATTAAGATGACAAGCTATGAAATTGTTCTCGCTTTTACATACTGGAAAACAGATGCCTGAGGACATAGGCTGTCGTCACATGCAGCTCTGATGTACATTCCTGTCATACAGGTTAGTCTATACAGTTTAAGAAGCTTTGAGGACACTGCCTATGTAAAAAAAAGCGAGAGTGATCATCTGACATCCTGAGGACATTCCATGTCCTCAAAATGCTTGTGAGGACATTCCATGTCCTCACAACCTCACAAACACGGATGTCACGCATTCAGGACTTTGGTCTCATTGATGGACTCACCAGCCACAGATGATGTTGTGGTGGTAGCTGTGGTGCCCTGAGTACCCAAGGCACCAGTCCCGCTTAGTGTGGGGACTGACGAGGTTATCGCTGTCTTGGCACCAAACGAGAAGCCCTGGTTGGTAGTTGCGGCAGCGGCAGCAGTGGAGGTGGCGGCAGTGGGTGTCCCTAAGCTGAAGGTCTTGGTGGCCGCTCCGAGGCTGAAACCGCTGCTACCACTGGGTGCCGGTGCTGCCGATGTCCCACCTGAGGGAGAAATGGAATGGAGGTGGGGAAATTGAAGTAGGTGAGAGGGTGTTAAAAACTGTCGCCATCCTTAGAAGCAAGGGCAACGGCAGAACAGTTGAACTGTAGATGTTAAGTGGCTGTATGGAGACCGCAAATTCGTGATTTCCAATTAGAAAAGTTGCTGTTAGCAGCACAAAATCTGCTTAAATGGCAGCTCACCGTGCAAACAGGGCATGGACAATATCGTTTTGAAACTGAGCCCTAACCTACCAGGACACTGTGACAATCAACCAGGCAAACTCCAGGGGCCAGATATAGTCTATGCCCTCCGAGTCCTAGACAGCCAGTCATCACAGGATCTGACACCCATACTCTTTAACTGGGCCGGCAAAATGTGCTTCAGAATGGGTGGTTTAATTTCATCGAATGTTGAATGCAAATGCAACAACGTCCCGCTGATGATGTTTACGCCTGTTGCACCTTGTTAGGTGTAAGTGCCGAATGTCACGGGTTCAGACATTCTATGGATGTTTGGGCAGACCTGCATGTTTTCAGTTGAAATTTGAGCGACAGTCGGGGTTTACTAACAAGGCTTAAAAGCTTCATTCAAAGTGGTCGTAGATCATGTCATCCACTTATTTGTCCCAACTTGCAGGGGGGGGTTCAAACACTTACCCAGGCTGAAACCTCCTGTTGTACTGCCTCCCAGTGAGGCTCCGCCCCCCAGACTGAAGCCGCTGGTAGCCGTGGCAACAGCGGTGGTGGTAGTGGGGGCAGCTGGTGTCCCGCCCAGAGTTGGTGCAGTTATCGTCGTGGAAGGTGTCGCGCCCAAGGAAAAGCCACCGGTTGCAGCTGCAGTCCCGGCAGTCGCACCACCCAGGGTGAAACCCCCGGTGCTTGTGGTGGACACTGGTGTCCCCCCCGTGGATGCCGACGGCGGAGCACCAAACGAAAAACCGGCGCCTGTTGGAAAGAAATCAGCTCTCATTAAACTCTTCGCACAGGGAACCGTCGACAGCCGCGGCTTTGTGTAAGGATTAGTGCATACCACACATACAGTCTATTCACCATGCAGCTGCTGGTTCAATGGGGCCTGCTGATGGACACAGCCCTCCATTCAGGGCATACCACAGCCCAGCAGTCACGGTCAAAAGAATTATTAGCGCAAAGGGGTTAAATCACTTGCCAATGGTATTACTCCGCATTATTATTACTGCTTGTGTAAGGTACGGTATTATGTTTGGCTAAAATATTCCCACTTTTTCATTCAAAAGAATACGACTGAACGTGGGGGCTTACCGACTGGCTTGACGCCTGAGCCCAGGGAGAATCCCCCCGTGGAGGCGGTGCTTGTTGTCGACGCGGGGGTGGGCTGGGCACCAAAGGAGAAGCCCCCTCCTGACGGGGTTGCCGCAGAAGTCGTGGATATAGTCCCGCCTTTTCAAATGGAGGGTGCACGGAGGAACAAAATGAGAAATTCTGGGATGTGCTTTCATCGACCGTATGACTGAAACAAGGTACTCGCTCCTCTCATGGTCAGACACTCACAGAGCTGTGATTGAATAAACTTGCAGCTCGATACATGTAAACTTTAACCACTGCAAGATTTCCCTGCAGACTTTCACCAGCTAGATCATTGACCTATTTCTCTTCAAAAGCTCTTGGAAATGTACTGCACATGCAGTAGTTTTATAGCATTACAATAGGAAAAGAGGGCAAATGTGAATACCAAATTATTTCACTTCACCCGGGTGTCTAGATCTGATCAGCATTACGGAAACCAAGTCAGAGAAAATAATCTGTCAATTTGAATATCTGTACGCTTGTGCATGTGCATGTGTCTTTGACGAGACGAAGGAAGGAGTTCCACATATGGACGGACATCATCCATTTTCCCTTATCATGCCACCAGAAAGCAGTAACATGTCCTGGAAAGTCAAATTCTCGGGGAAAATATGAGAGCAGTTACTGAGAATATAGAGTTTTCAGACCAGTCTCATAGGGTCTGTTGACTCTGCAGACAGGGTGTCAAGAGATGGGAGATTGTAAAGTTTGGCACCCCTTTCTTGTATAGAAGGAAGAATTAGATTTAAGCTTTCATACTCACATTATTTCGCCGAATTGCAGAGTTTAATTTTGTAGAAACAGGGCAGGGTTTTGATTTTTGTGGGGAATGGGGTGGGGGGGGAGGGAAATGAAATGTGTCTTGATAGAGTGTCTCTGACTGGTAGCTGAAAAGCTTTATTAGAAAGCTGATGGACTCTGATTGGTGGAGATCAGCCCATCAAAAGGCGTAAGGGTACTGAAGATATTGTCAACCTGCTCCGTAGAGTGTCTCTTATTGGTTCATGGAAAGTTTTTTTAGAAAGCCGATCTCTGATTCATCAAAAAGGCAGATCAGGGAGTAAGAGTATCGAAGAGAACAGCTAATGCTCAATCAGTCTTCATGTGTGTGTGTCAACTGTCAAGTTGACTGTGCATTTACGTTGACAGACGTAAGGTAAGAAAATCACATTTTTTTCCCCCCGATTTGGTTTTCCAAATGCAACCCATATAGGGTCATGACAATTAAAAGACATTGTCCGAGTAACACTCTTTTTTTGGGGCGGACCATTATTTCTACAAGTAGCTAAAAACAGGGGGATCCGGCCTTGACAATGCCCCCCAAGTGATGTGTGTAAGTGTATGGAACTCACACCAAAATAAGGAAACCCTGGTCGAAACAGGCCACCGTAGTTTGAAACTTACCAGCACTCCCAAATGAGAACGAACTGCTACCCAATCCCGTCCCTCCACCAAACGCAAAGCTACTGGATCCTAAGCTGGGTGTGGTGCCTGCTGCCGTCGCCACTGGCTTAGAGGCGCCGAAGGTGAAACCACCAGAGCCGGCGGGAGTGGTCCCAAAGGAGAATCCCCCTCCAGTGGTTGAGGTGGTTGTGGGACCGGGGGTGCCGCCGAAGGGATTGGGATTGGCCATGGCGGCTTTGAAATCAAGTCACAAATCACACTTGTGTCTGTGGAAGGGATTCATTTATACAAATGGTCAGGGCACCGGAAAAAATTCCATAACCTTCGGACGCCACTCACTTTAGCTATCTGAAAACAGTAAAATGGGAAAGAGTTCCATTTTACAGACAGCACTAATTTTCCCTTAAAATGTTAAACAGTTATTAGAAAGCGATAACATTTCCTAAGAAGTGAAATATAGCTTCAGGAGAAAATTCTGAAGCAAGCTCAGGTTCTTCAGATAAATCTCACAGGTTTGTTATAATCGTGTTGTCCGTATATGGAACTCTTTCCCTGAATGTCAAATTTAGCCCTGAAAATATTGAGGTGGTGCAGCACAATCTCGACACTTGCGCTGATTTACTGTACTCTTTCCCGAGTTGATATGGATTTCATTCAAAAGCAAATCAACTCACGATGGAGAAGGCCTACAATAAATTGGTGCAAGACTCAGGATCGCACTGACATGACTGAACAGCAAGCCTACTAGCCTACTGTCTTAGGATTTTTCAAACCAGGATTCGTGCATAGGTTGTGAAGTACAGTGGTGGCCGTATATTGTTCCCAAATGAGTGTCAGAGTTGGCCTATATGAGTAGTACTCGACTATAGGGCTTAGTATGAGCTGAGTGATGCAATGAGTGACATATCTGAGTATTATTAAATGATATTGACAAAATTGCCTTAGCCATGCACAGCATTGAGGAACAGATCTGCTGCTTGCTCTATGCCTTAAATTAACAAGACCACACCATGACCACATTACAAGCAGGCTAAAAAAAAGCTAAATCTCTTCGACTTCAGGTTTACTGAAGACTGGCACGCAAAAATTTAGAAACACATTTAGTAAAAGGTTTAAGCTGTCAGTAAACAAGGTAAAGCATGTTTAAAGTGTATTATATCGATAGTTACGACAAGAGAAATTCCATTTTACCTTCGTTCTCACTATGCACGCGCGCTGCACCTTTTGTGAATGGCGGTACTGCACAGTATGCATAGCGCCCTCAAGCGGCATAAAAATAGGGTGGTCAATTTTTCTTAGAAACGGAGACTGAGTTATCATTCCTTCACTTTCCTTTTAAAGAAGTTTTAGTGATTTGAGGGGAAATCCAATCTCTTTTTGGAGTATGTTTGTCTCTTCTGAAACTCGACTTCAGCTTGACACTGACCTCATCCGTGTGAACAACTCCGTTTGCATTGGCCGGGGAAATTGTGGCCCAGGAATTATTCAACCACCCCACGACTGCAGGGTCTACAAAATAATATGCAAATTAAATTGCAAAGCCTAAATTTGAGAGCGTTGGGGAGGGGAGTGGACGGGGGGGGGGAATTTACAACTCTGAAATGTATCATCCCCATGAACATACCTTCACTCAACAATACATGCCAACATAAAAGCCCTTCTTAACAAAGTTTTAACTTTTATTTCACAAAAACCTCCTACTTCAATTTTACAAATCGGTAAGAAGAGTAATACAAGTCTTACACAGCATGATTCCATCGACGGTAAAGTCCAGTAACGCCATCTTGACAACACGAAAATTATGCAATGCCACTGTTTTAGTCACATAAAATATTCATGTTGAACAAAAAAATTAACTGTGATAACAACAGATAACTCTGACCTTTATAGCTCAGTTGAATTTTTGGAGGGCAAGCACAGCACAGCCAACATATGAGAATAATACAAGGGAGTTAAATAACCCAAGCTGGCATGAACGAAGATTGGTAACTGAAGACTATTTGCCTGTCAACAGAGGGCTCTCTCTGGGTATTTGACGTCACAAAGTTACAAGGTACCATCACTTCAGCAAGGCGACGCGTGAATGAGATTTTTTATCTTTCAAGAGCAAGTAAAGATGGCGTGATTGTCTTTGGCAGGATTTTCTGTACAGTCAGATCGCAGTCTCCTTGCAGGACAACACCAAAGAATGAAGACTATGGCGTTCTTCAAAACTCAGATGCATCACCATTCCAACTTCCCGTTTTAGCTCTTATGAGTTTTGTCCCCTGCATTGAGATGCTGGAGCTCTTATCACAGCCGATTTCTCTGCTTCAGAAACATCCTATTTTCTAACACATAAACCAAATCTGAAGGAATTTCATCTGTTTTTTTTCAACAGTGAGTGTTTGATGAACCCGACTTGCAAAGCTTGAAAATGAAACCGATGGCAGAGGCAGGGACAAAGTTAAAAGGACAAGTACTTCTGGGGTCATGTGTCCATGTGGACTGCAAACCCGTGCTGCAATCCCGCAAACAAGGCACTACCAAGGTCCTCTTCCTGTAGGCGGAGAAAAAGACAACAGAGGGGGGAGGGTGAAAATGAAACATGGACCACGAGGTAAATGGGAGGAAGTTTTGATCAAGAACTCTCGTTGACTACCGTTTGACCAATATTCAATGCATGACAGTCAGCGTTAGTTTAAATTATTCTAGTCAGTGACTGAGGACCAGTCTATCGGTTGATTACAGCTCTAGTAATCAACAGCCGTGCATATCACAATGTACAGCGGGGAGCCAGGAGCTTGAGTAGCCCGGAAACACCTGTTAAGCTCAGCTCATTTAATTAGTGATGCTCAAACTTCAAAACATGTACGAAAGAGCAAGGCCATTCACAGACGGACCCCTTATCGACCGCTGTTGTGGTCAAAACCATCATGAGACCAGATACAAGACCAGTCACAAGTGACAGGGCAATCGATGACCAAGGAATGCTTTTGCTGCAGTACATTTGAATTGCTTGTGACTTGAATTCAGACTGGAGGTCTTGTGATGGTTTTGTGGGGTCTTGTAATGGTCTTAAGAATCTCCACTACAACACTGTTATCAATGATTGGTTTCTTGATTGATCTTTCTTGGGCTTGAGGAATGGGTTTAAAAGCTCACCTGGTACGGCCAGGACACCAAGAGGTCTAGAGATTCCTCACTTTCTCCCGCCACCTGAAACAAATATTTTTGCAGATTCACATGTAGCTGATATCAAGAATAAGGAAAAGTGAAGAGAGAGCAGGTATTCGATAAAACCTGGGACAAAGTCTGTAGGGCTGCCGTTAAGTGTAATTTAGCACATTTATGAGCTAAGGACAAATTGAGTTGGGGACCATTCGCAAAAGAGAACAAACCACATGCATATTGGCTGTGCAAAGCTTTTTTGCCATTTTTAACTATTTCCAAATAATAAAGGGATAAGTTTTATCACTCTGTTACCTTAACCAGAACTGATCCGACAAGAATTGAGCCATCTGAAGTAAGCTGAACACTCTGGTGTGGAAATCTCCTTAAATTCAAACAATGAATAAAATGGAAGAGGGAAAAAAAGTAGATCAGCAATTTAACATACAAGAAAAATTAAGAAATCAAAATGTCGGACAAAATTTCTCTGAAATAGCAATGCAAAATCTGGTTCTCTGGGCAATTTTTAAAAGAAGTTGTCATGACGATCCTAGACAGGGTGGTATGAGACATGCAATGTACCTGGACTTCTTCATCTGAAGAGATGAAATTTGTCCAATCATAAGTCAACCCAGAAGTCGCATTTAAATTGCAACAAGGACCTGCCATAGACATGTGAGGACTTATAATTGCCGTGTGATTGAGATGTGACTCAGTTCTGAGGACTTTTGATAAACACGTAAAATTTGTAAGGGCTTGAGATTTCATTGCAATTACAATGGGACTCCTTATGACCTGTAAGAATTTGTAGATTTAGTTAAGAGGACTTGTGCTAACTTACGAGGACATGTGACATCTGAGGACATGTGACATGACATCTCCTTTTAAAACTTAACATGTGGATTACAGTTTGAATTATCAGAGAAGCCATATCAATGCCTTTTCAAGACTTGTAATTGGCTTGTGAGGACACAGGACAGACTTGACACAGTACTGGCATCGTCTCCACAAACTGGTATGCGGAGTCATGCTTTGATCATCATACAAGCAAACACAATACCTCTTGAGTTTCTTCTGTAGCGCCTCCATGCTCATGGAGGCGATGGTGACTGTGGACGTGAATCGGATCTCATGCTCCGTCACGCCTAGTTGCTGCATCGTCTTGGATGCATCCTCAAGATGCATTTTCTGGATTGAAATTTAAAACCAAAAAGGAAACAATGTGAAAAAGTTTGACACGGAGGAAATTTATTTTATCCATTGTAATGATCAATGATCGTTCAGTATAAAACATTCTTTCATAATCAATCTTACCTCTCCAGCGATAGTCAGAGCGCCATGTAATATCCTCGGTTTTTTTACATCTCTCAATGCATCCCCTGAGAGAGAAAAAAATACATTACACATTTTACTTTGATCTCATACTATAGTTTTATTTTGACCTAATCCTCAAGTTGAAATGACCTACCGGAAGTGGCGATACTCCGCTTGAGCAAATTTAGGGACACGTCTGCAGTAAGATTTGCCTTGGTTTCCAAGGCAACTATCTCTCCATTGGCTGGCATGAAACATTCAATGCCTGGAAAGGGTTTTAAAAAGAATCACATATAAATGTCACAAAAGTGGAAACTTTCTGCGATTTAAAACTCTTCCCGGCCAGTTTGACTGAATGACATTGGTCCAGACATTTTTCATAATTTCCATATTTCCAGGAAACTCACAGTACTTTTGCCCCGATTGTTTAAAAATTTTCAGTAAAAAGCAGGCCTCAAAAGAGTTACAGTCCACAAACTTAATATAGTCCACAGAATTTCAGATCTGAAAAACTCCTGCTGTACGCTATAAATGCTATAAACAAGATGGATATTTATTTTTCCAACCTCTATCAGGACTTCTAAGCGTCCATAACTGACATGCTCCCCGACAGTTTACGCACATATTAGGTAATAATATGCTAAGAGACTGACCAAATTCGCCCGTGATCTTCTGCTTGAGGAATTCCATCTTCTTGGCCTCGCCATGCACCAGGATGACGTTCTTGGGCTCGCACATTCGGATCAGCTGCATGATACCTTTGGCATCGGCATGAGCGCTGCATCACAGCCAAACAAAATCCAAAAGATCAAACCCCGTGACGAAAAAACGTTCAGAAGTACAGTCTTTCTACCAATGAAATCTTCATCCATTACGTGGCATTTAGCGCACCTTGAATACAGTACAAAGGTTCTTTGCAACAGATTACCAAATGTGACATCATCTCTGAACTGGTAAGTGTAGTGCATATGAATGGGGCGAAACGCGCGTGTTGCTCCCACAAAGTAGTGCACGTGACGTATTCACCTCGATGCTCTATTGGCAATAGAGTTGGGTGATGACACCAGTCCTCGATTTTGCACCAAAATGGAACACGTCATTGTAAGGTCAAGACCCGTTACTTAAAGAAAATGTGGAACAAATGGCCATGCAGCGAAAGGTAATTTCTGTGGTTTCCAGCATACCTGAAAGACATGTACTGGACCGAGAGCTTCACCTCAATCTGCAATCGGGAAAAAAAAATACAAGAACTTGCAATATGACTGAGCGTAGAAAGCAGACAAAGGTACGGCAAAAATGCAAGCATTTAGGGAATCCAGTGGCTAGCAGCTCCAGTTATGCCCTAAGACGTGTGTATTACTGCAAGCTGCAGCCGGTAGATTCATTTGTGGCTACTGACTAGGTAACAACCCGACACCAAAGCTTGGGCGGTAGAGAGACCTTTGCCCATGTTTGTCTTGTTCCCTGTAAACCCATCGGCAATAGTAATATAACTTCACATATTGATAAAAGGGAACAGACTATTTTTCCTTCTAGCCTATGTTTGGTTACATTGCTTTGAACGGTGCAAACGCAAGATGGCTGCCCCATCAATACAGGTCTACGCATGCCTCTGCCTACCATCAATGATAAAGCTACTTCTCATACTGCATGTGTCGCTGGCCAAATTAAACTGTACAGCTGTGCCATGGTCCAGACCCTAAATCCTTTCACAAGTCTAGGTACAAGACCGGGAGCAAGATTGACAATGACATTGGAATGACTTTGTCAACAGTTCATTTGAATAGCTTGTGATTTGACTTGCAATGGGCCTGGAGCTGGACCAAGAGAGGGCGCTATTTTCTTAGCAACAGAGGCTCCTTTGGTCGGAACTGAACTTTGCTGGTTTATGGATGATTAGGAAATGGACCCATCACGGTCCCATCACTACCAACAAAATGAACGCTCTAGACCAACGCAGCCCTTTTCAACCGATGAGGGGGCGCTTCTGCTCGAGGAGGAAGGGCTTCTGAGAAAGTGTGCAGAGAGTGGTGACAGACTTAAGTTTGACACTGCCAGACACGACACACGTAAGAACAACGGGTACCAGACCACTTAGACATGGACAGATATTTTCTTCACAATTATTTCTTTCTCCACTCTCATCTCCCCTTACCACTTGTCGGTTCTCCATCTCGATCTTCTTGGCCCCGCTGAGGATCTTGCTGCCCACGGTCCCTGCCACGCAGTAGCCCGGCATGATGACCATGTTGAGCGGGTTGGGGGCCCAGTTGCGGAAGATCTGGAGCGACAGGCCAGCGTGGAGCATGCCGGGCGTGGCAAAGACCACCATGGGGCCCGGGTTGTGAATGTAACCCCTGTCGAAAGGCTGAGGGTGTGATACAATCGAGACTAGTCGATCAGTAAGCGGCAGCAGCAAAAATAACATGGTTACGTGTACGTGTTGATGATAAAATTTTGGCAAAAATTTAAATTCAGTGCCTGGTCGATTTATCCCTCCTCAAACAACCCTAACTGAACAGGTTTCACTGCCTTCATACAGAAAATTATGATACAGGCTTTTGATAATCAAAATGGTCAACTAGATCGTCCAAATAACCGTCATTCAAGTGACGTTAGTCGAATTGTGGTCTCAGCCACAGTCACTGCTCACTTGCTAATCGAGGGTTTGCATGGCTGCCACCTTGCAGGCTAGCGCTTGTGTTCCACCACTTATGCACAAAGGAGGTTTCCCTCTGGCACAAAAGAACTGCCTTGCAAGATGGCTACTACGCAAAGCCTCTATAAACAAAGTACATGTTCTGACTGATCAACTGCAGAACAGGAAGGAAAACCCTACCAAATTTTATTCCAATATTTTCAGTCCAGATGAACACAAACTCTCCACCACAACTCTTTGTGACCGACAAATGAGAAAGGAAAATGACCTTGATGTGCTTGAAATCAAAAAGGTTCCTCTTGACAAAGGTTTTCCGGATCTTCTGATTGGTCCACATGACAAAGAGCTTGTAGTAATGATTGGCCTGAAAATTAAGGGGAGGGGTCAAGAAATACCACAACGCTAACAAATCAAACGTCAAATGATGGAACGTTTTTTCAGTTACCAAGTCAAGGTCTGAAAACTATGACTGTCCTCACTTTGCTTCTGAGGACAGTCCTCACTTTGCTTCTGAGGACAGTCCGGACAAACTATCTGAAACAGACAAACCCCGCAACGTTTCACCCCGATGGCCCCCTTTCACGGTGGTAAGCATTGTGTTGGGCTTTGTAGAGACGCTGTCATGGCACAGTAGCTCCGTACAACAGTGGTCACAATGCTTACCGCCATTGTTGGGGGCCACTGCTAATGAACGACCAGTGTGATAGCATTCTCAGTGCTGTATTTGAGTCCATCTCAAGCCCCTTACCAAGTCCTTTCACAAGGCCAGTCTTAGGCATGAGGGTGAACAACGACAAAAGAATGCTTTTGCCGCAGCTCATTTGAATAGCTTATGAATTGGCTTACGACTGAATGACTTGCGATGGACTCAAATACAACACTGGGCATTACCATGGTTATCGGATTCCATCTACACTGTACTTGACTAGGATTCTCTCCTCACAACCGCTGTAATGAATGGAGTTCCCTTAGTGTACTTGGTACCACAGACTTTTCTAGACTGCATATTCTGTCACACAACCTCTCAAACTGGTTTAAAAAAACAACGATTTTCCAACCTTTTCTGTGAGTCCCAGAGAGAAGTACACTGGTACTGTCAGGTTCATCCGATCCCTGCAGTGTGGGAGAAGAACAAAAGAGATGCAATGGGAAAACTTGAAAAGGACACTTGCTGTGCTACGAAATTACGCTACTGATGCAGAGGCATATCCAGGTCATGGGTGGCCAAACCGATAACTATTTTTCTCAAAACGACTGTCTGGTATTTTCCATCCATAAAAGAATCCTACCTGTGGTAGCGCCATTTCTAAAATGCTGGCACTTTCAATTTCTTTTTTTAAAAAAGGCAACAACCTAGGCGGGGGCCAACTTACCGCCCCCCGGCCCAATACTCGATACATTACTACAGAGACGTTAAATGGGCTTTTAGGTCATATTTTGACCGGCAACACAATAAGAGAAGAAATAATGTAGCCAAACGCATGAACATTTGTCAAAATTTTACTCAAATTCGACGTAACTGAATGAAGTAGGCTACGTGGAAGGGAAGACAAGATGCATGATTTCTCACCAAAACGTCTCGACGAGGATGCAGAGCTCCTGGGCCCGGCCTAGGGCAAAGACGGGGATCAGCACCTTGCCTCCCTTCTGGATGCAGTCGTGAATCTTCTGCAGGAAATCACGCTCTCTGCACCTGAAATCGTTGATAAAAATTGTTCCAATTTGACAAACCTGACAAAAGCTCTAGTCATGCAAAATTTCACCTGCTAAATACCATCAAAATGAGAAGCTGAGTTTTTTTTTCTTAATGCAAGTTGAAAAAAATACTTCTTCTCGGGGTCTTCGGATGAAATACATTCTCTGCTGTGGAAAACGCTGTCTAATGCAACAAGCCCGCATGAAGTTGGTTTTTTTTTACCTTTTGGAGTCACGGATTGTGGTAGCATAGGTCGACTCTGTGATAAGGATGTCCGGTCGGCATTTATCGATCCACGCCGCTCTGTGATTTACAGAGAAAAAAAATGTAGAGAACTGTCAGAATATTACATCTTAAATCTCATTCAAGCATTTTGGTTAAGTGGCGTCGAACCTGAAATCACAAATGCGCAATTGTAGACCTACTGTTTGAACTAGACTTCGGACATGCTAGTGCAACCATTCAGCTAAGGTTCCCATCACCTTTGAGCTAACGTGTGCATGCTGAAAATGGCACTAGCACTAACGGAGCAGTCGCGGGGGACCAGTTTGCTTGCTTGCCAACCAACCAAAAGTCTCACAATGTGGATCGCACAAACACTTGATACCAAAGCGAGGGGACGACACCCGTGTTGAAAAGGGAGGCCAAAAACATTGTAAGGACAAATTTTTTGTCCTCACAACTCGGCCCCGACTTTCCTGACAAACGACGCCGTCCCCCTTAACACGGTGAGGGACCACCTGCGCACGCACAGCAGTGTTCCACTTACATACAACTGACCACAAGGAGCACTGACCACTGAGGACGGGATTGAACAAATGACTGACCATTGAGGAGAGAAAAGAAATTATGTTCCCTCAAGGATTTCCCCCAGGGGGTGAATGCCCATAGGGAGGCCCGACGAATATTTTGATGAATTCAAAGTGCCCACGACAAAGGTGACTGCACTAACGGGGCCTAAAATAAGTTCCAAATACACCTGTAGGGTATTTAGTCTTGATCTGTTTCCCTTAAAATGAACCAATCTTGGAACCATGAAGCCTTCTTAACCAGTGGTGAACTTATCTCCCTCAAAATTTGGTATCTTGGTTATTTTTCTTTCAAATTTCCTTTTTCCCCCCTCTTTTTCAGACTGTGAAGGTGGCAATACCGGCCAGGAAACGGCTGAGGTGATTCTTGAAATTAGTGAAGTAAGCTGCCACACATTTGAATAGGTGAGGCAGACCCAGGTTCCCTTGGTGTGTCTGTCCTCTGTGGTGAAGTCAAATGTACGTCCAAATCTTGTTCTGTGGTTCTAGGGACCAGGTGCCCGTTGCCCAATGCTTACAACGGGGACTTTAAACAAAAATCAGAAAAAACGTCAACAAGGCTTCTTACCCTAAATGCCTGTCTGGTGTCATGTTATAATCTCCCTGAGAAAGGATTAAAAATAAGAAATTGTACATTGGTCAAACAGTTTCAAGAATGGAAACGTACAGACTGTTAGTGGCCTTGATGAACTTATAATCCACAAAAGAAAAATTGGTCATGACTGATTGATTGGCACTGATGGCTGAAGTGAATCACTCACTGTGTAGACCACAGACTGAGAACCGACTTTCATGTGGAACATCGCCGCCCCCAGCACGTGGCCAGCGTAGTAGGCAGTGATCTCCAGCTCGTCGTCAACCTGGTGATGTAACCAAATGAAACGCTGGTAAAAAAAAATGATGCCAATACATTCACAGCATACATGCAAATTTGACAAATCACGGTAGTTGATATGTGTTCAAATTCTGGAAGTCTGCATGGCATGTGTCGGCTAGGAGCTCCGAAAAACTATTATTTGCTCTCGACAAAAATATTGCTAGCGTCCTTAGTATCTTTAGCTGTTTTCTTTCCAGAGAAAAAAATGGACGGATACCAATAATACTGAGAGAGTGTTTAAAGGAGAAAATGGTTCACAGAACGTTCCCTTCCGCACCTGGACTGTCTGATGAAGGTTGACGATGACCACTTTCTTCATGCAGTCTTTAATCATCTGAAATAAAGAAATCGGAGCTCACTTAGACCATTTTTTATCAGGGTTGGTCCACACTATGCGCGACCATCATCAGTGCATGGTAAAGATTTATGCTTCTCAATTTAACGCCTTTGGTTTTTATGGGAGTATTGTACAAACTAACAGCCGAAGTGAAGAAGTTGGTCTCTCCCTTTCTCTCAACGGTGATCTTTCTGTAGTCCTCCTGAGAAATAGAAAAAAGAAAAGGTTGTTTTTATCCCAAACGTTTAAACTATGAACTTTCCCTAAGAAAGAGGAAAAATTACTCCTGTTTTGCAGATACATCTATACGTATGCTGCTTCATGCTGACCGGTTCAGAGAGCTAATTGTGTATTCACACAGTGTATGCTCAAATGAAGCGTGTGACAGGTGTAAGAGGGAGTTAATGTCTAGCGTGATCACACGGTCGGCGCAATCACTCCATTTTAGCGTGATCAGTCGATCTTAATGAACCACAGTTGTTGATAATTTTGTCATCAGCCGATTGCATTTTCTTTCTAATTCATGGGTGGTGAACAACCATTTCAAAAAAGGGAAGCGAAATTGGAGATTTAGTACAGGAATGACCAACTGCACTGTGTGATCGGGAACTCGCGTAGGTCGGCTGGTCATGACCGATGTCAATACAAGGGTGAGAGGTCAACTTTATCAGAACAACCATACGAGAACTCGAACACATTGATAGTATTTTGACTGGCGTGATGTCAGGTGCTCTGTTCTCACACGTTCTCTTTTCTGAAAAACCAAACAGGCTCAATCTGGCCAAACCTACTGAAAAATACACTTGACGTTCACTGGCCTATAAGCCCTGAGCTGGACCGCAGGGGGCGCAATTTGCCTAGTAAAGGAGGCTCCTTTGGACGGAACTTGGTTCACAAACGACTATGAACTGCGCGCATTACGGTCACGTCGCTACCAGCAAAATGGGCATTCCCCATCGACATGGCTCTTTTCAACCAGTGAGGGGGTGCTTCTGCTCAAGGTGGATAAGTTAAACCTGTTGAATAAGATGGATTCTGGGTATGCGAGGAACGTCGAATGAAAAAGGCTACCAATAGGATTGGACATATGGCCTTGGTGGGTTGGGTCATGTAGATGGGTCCATCGTAGCCAACAATCTCACTCATGTAGGGCAGGGCACCGCAGTGGTCCAAGTGGAAATGGCTGTGGAAAAGGTGATGAAAAAGACATGATTGATTTTTGTAGTACAGATTTTTGCGAAGTTCTAAGTTTTCGTGAATGTAGTTCTACATTTAAATGTCTCTACCTTATTATCACACAGTCCAGGTGTTCCGTGAGGCGGCCACTTCGAGTGATGTAAGTGAAATCGGGAAATCGTCTCTGAAATCAGTCAGAAAGGAAAAATTCTGGGCGATTACTGAGCTAACAAAATAACACGAGACTTTTTTTTTCTCGATCTCATGACCATATCGAACAAGTACATTGTCAAGTGAAGCGTACCTCACCTGTGCACATAAATGACAATCTGGAAAGGCAAAGTCTACTGTCATGAAGAGTTTGATCGTTATTCACTAAGTCTACAAGCTTCCAAATCAAAATACATCATCCTGAGTGATAAAAACCAAAGTGGCTCACATCGTCATTGAATCCCATGTGCATGCCACAGTCGAGCATGATGTTCTTGCCGCCAATCGTGACCAAGATGCAACTGCGGCCAACATCTAGACAACCAGAAATAGAGTTAGCAACACTCATAATGGAGCTCTAATGCTTAGTTGCAACGGCAGGTCTACCCGTCAAAATTTTCCCAACCACCTCCTCGGGATTGAAATATGGAGTCGTATTTGCTGTACTCGTACTACTTTGTCATTCCATGGGGTCGGGGCACAATTTGTGACGGTGACAATTGTTACATGGGTTCTCTAAAAACGAACATTACTTCCCTGCATGTGGATTCCCTATTGACATTGTTATACATCTTGCAAGGCTGAATACAGAGGTGCGGGTTTTTTTTACAGAGTAAATGACCTACTCTACAGGTCATGACAGGTGGTAAACGTTACCTATTTAACAAGGACACCGTCACAAATTGTACCCCAATCTTATGGAATGACCCTACTGTCAATAGGAGTTGAGTCCGGGCAGCCAGGTCAGGGGCTAGATTGTACGATTAACACGAAATGGTTTGCTTGGAGCCAGTGAGAGATTCCTCCATGGTCTGGTAGGGGAGGGCAGGGGGGCAGGGGAGACTCTAGTGCAGACTTGACGTCAGCCCTGGAGCTGATTTCACCATTGAGCTGCTTACCATAGAAATTTGCTAAGCACAGCACACATGAAATTTATATGCTCAGTGAAAACAGGTTACCCGCCAAAATGTCAATGTATTCTACACTTCCTGTGACTGGTTGTCAGCAGGTTCTGCTTAACACTTACATACATGCAACAGCTTTTCTCCTGGGCAATGCAGGCACTGTTCAGCACGATCTTGAAACTTGTGCAAATTTACTGTAGGCCTACCATACCTACTATAAATCCTGAGTTGATTTGCCTTGGAACAAAATCTGTTCATCGGATAATCAACTCAGGAGGGAGTACAATACATCTGTGCAAGAGTGAAACTTGCTCTGAACAGCACCAATAATGAAAACATTTTTTTTTTTCAAAATGAAACCAAACATGCAAGCAAAACTTACCTTGTCCGGCACCTGTTCAGCGAGGAAGAAAAAGATGAAACAAGAAATTAGCAGAATAGTGTCACTTGCTCATTTACAGTAATAATTAAGCGCAAATTAAGCAACAAATCAAAACAACTGCCTGCCTAAACCACTGCCTAGGTTTAGTGCCAGTGCTCAGTGTCCTCTGACAAAACAGTGACAGGTGACGATGTCTGAAGTGATGGATGAGAGATCAAAAATTAGCAACATTCATCTTGCTCGAAAACCTAGAAAATACGATATTTACTGACCAAGTGGGGTAACTTTGATCTCTGCCATGATCTGTTTTAGGTATTAACATGGGTGTGATCTTGCGGGTAGCAGTAAGGTGACTTTTTAAACTACACAAGGTGACAATCAGCACCGGGACATATGCATAACAAGCGAAACCTGCCGGGATCCTATACAAGTTGGAACCTCTCGTGCATGCATACAGTATGGGCAAGGCCATCTTCCAGTCGCTACAGAATAGGTGAGGTAACCTGCTGAAAAGTGCTTAACTAACATCAAATAAGGGTAACAAATTAATAAAATAACACGAGAATAGCTTTGGAATGATTACAAACTATATTAATGCGAATTCGTGTAATCTTATTCATTAATCAATGAAAATGTGTCAATTTGAAACAGAAATTTTTCTAGTCCTTACCCACAGTCTTGTAATGGATTGAACCAAAACATTCCAGACTGACACCTTGCATGCGAGTGCGTGACTTTCTATATTTAATACTAATAGATTTCAGACATTTGGACAGCAGACGACACTTTCATGTTCAATAACTGAGAACCAGTAAACAGTCAACCAGCCGCAGGTCAAGGTTAAGTAAGACACAGCTGCATGTGCATTGTGATCACGGCCCCAAAATTCCGGATACAATTCAGGCCTGTTTTCTGCAACAATGGCTGGGAAAGAACTGTTTGATTTTAAGCATTTGTTAGAGGAATTTACGGCCTCTAAGACACCAGAAAATCACATTTTGATGGACCGTTATGTGAATGCTTTTAACGACTTATCGAGGTAGGGTGGGCGTTCCCGCAAGTGCCATAAGTGTCATTCCTTCCGAAGAAAGCGTTCCGGTAGTGACCAGTGCTGATCACAAAGTGAAAGATTATTCCGGAAGCGGAGGCATGATTGATACTGGGCCGTATCGAAAGAAATTCCGGACGCCATTTTGAAAGGCCCAATTCCCAAATATTTTAGGTGTTACGGCGCACGGTAGACTTTGGACGTCGACATGTTGGACATACATTACGCCTAGCACTGCCCAGGTCTATAGATGACTTTGAAAGAAATAGGGAAATACATGTAGGGCCTAACATGTCTAACCTATTCACAAAATTTGGCGACCAACATGACCAATTGTAGACTTGTTGATTGTTCGTGTACCTTGACATTGACAGGATTGACCTGATTGAAGACGTTGAGTAGTTTCAGCTTGCACGTTGCTATGGTTGCTGAATCATTTTCACTCATTTTGAGCCGGACTTTTGCCGATTGTAAGCAACATCTTTTGCTCAGAATGGCACCTTCATGTATGTTTCACAGGTTCTTTGTTCTTCTGGGCACCGCCTTTGGCTTTGTCTCCAAGGACATCAACGAGAAGGTAGGCATCCTGAAGGCCCACCGGGCTGAAAACCCAGACCACTTTGCCACCATCCAGTCCATGGTGGCCTACGAGGTGGCCAACGACCTGACTCAGGCTAAGACCAAATCAGGGCTCCTGTCGGGCTCCCGCACCCTGCTTCGCCTCCACCGCACCATGGACTTCGTGGCCAAGTTCCTGGGGCGGCTGAAGGACATGAAGGATGAGGAGTACACGAGCAAGGCCGCTTCGGAGGAGTACTCCCAGTCGCTGGCCAAGTTCCACCCCTGGATGATCCGGAAGGTGGCGGGCGTGGCTATGTACACCCTGCCCACCCGGGGCGTCTTCGTCCAGAAGTACTGCAAGCAGGAGAAAGAGGAACTGGAGACACTGGTCGGTCCAACGGCCGCGATTATGACCGAGATTTACGACATTACACAACAGCTGTATGCCGATAATAATATTCTAGACCTTCCTTAACCTCGGTTTCTCCTGGGGAGAACAGTTTCACACAGCAGAAAATTCCGTGTAGTAATTTTAAGAAGCTTAGGTAGAAATCCGCTGGAAACGAGTCGCCAACACTACAAACCACATTTGGCAGGATTTGGATTAATATTTAAACTGGCATGGCTGTGGGCCAGGCAATCATGAGTCAAGTTCAAGCAAGAAACACAAACGATAATTGCACATTATCGGGGGGAGTCGGGTTGGCGTAGTGGTTCTTTCTTCGCCTTCCACCTCCGTGGCCCGGGTTCAATTCCCGCCATGGTCCATGGTCCTTGCCTCAGGTTTCTTCAGGCTTGCGAGCTACAGTGCCGAGTGCAAGCTTGATACCACTAGAAAGGCACAGAATGGTGTGCTTCCATATACCAGCAAAGGCAATACGGCCGTTTCACAATAGTGTGCCACTAAGAGGTTGCAACGCATTGGTCAATTACAATGCGCGGAATTTTTCGACCCATTGCGCGTTTGGAAAAGGTCGACAAATTTTGCCTGTTCTGATTGGCCGATGCATTACAAACTCTTGGTGGTGCACTATTGTGAATCGATCGTATTGTGTTTTCAACTGAAATATGCTCTACAATATAAATGTAATTTGATTTCTGGTTATTTTAACGCACAGAATCTTAAGTTTTTGCTCAGGAAGTTCAACTTGAATTTGGGAAGTGTTTCTGAATTGGGCATTTTTCGTAAATGGGGCATTTATCCCAATTTAGGCAGAGTTCCAAATTTGAGCAGTGTGAAAGAGGATCCAAATGTCAGCCCCATCAACCATCATTTGGTGCGATTCATTTATAATCACCGATGTAGCAGATTATATTTAAAAGTTAATAGCCATGTCAGCAAGTAGACGATTCATAGTTATGTCTGTAGCTAGTCAATGTTTAATGCAAGAAATAGAAATATTGTACCTGTTGGCCTTTTATTTTTATATAAAAAATGATGTGTAAGACGTATGGTTTTTGAAGTCACAACCTCAGCAGACAGCGGTGGTGCGAATTTAGTGATTTTTCTGAGTTCCGGAAAAAAATCATGTGTCCACTTAACAATTAATGTCGATCAAAATACATCATGTTTTAATTAAGCTTTTATGCAAATAAAATTAATGGTGGAAAAAGAAAAATAAATCAATTGTTCTTCGGGTTTGACTTTCCCTTTTTATGCTGTACAGGATCCGATCAAAATCACAAAGTAGCAGCCGGCAAAAAATTGCCCGAGTGGAGTTTTTCTGAGCGCAAGAAGATCAGAAATGAATATGCATGTGACGTCACACGACATTATGAATAATTAACTTCAGGGCGCGCGCCCTCTGCCTCTACCGATCGTGGAACGTCTGAAGCGGGTGACGCCCATAACGTGTACGAGACACTATAAGGCCGAGTTCGGGCGGCTTGTTCCCATATGTTCAACAACAGTTCGATTTGTTGTTCGTGGATCGGCCGCTCGAACGCCGGGAAGAAACACGCAACATGGCGGCGTCCATGTACGTTACTCGAGAGTTAAGTTTTGGATGGGTTGAATTCTTTTCCATATAAACAGGAACATTCATTTCTGTGTTTGGGAAAATAATTAATGTTAATGTTGCAAAACTTCCCATTGTCTACATGGTCTATGGCTTTGGAAGCCACCTCTCCACTTTTGCAGCTGTTCAAAAATCAAAATCTCACGAGTTTTTCCGTGTGTTCCTGTAAAACCCTGACGAGGAGGTGGTGCGTGATCCTATTCCGGGAACAGTGTTCTTGAGTCGTGTTCCCGCCGTTCGAGCGCGAGAACAAGAAACTCGTTTCAAGAACAGGCCGCCCGAACTTGACCTAAATTTCTGTCCCAGAACCAATGTTTCATAGTAAATTCAAGCATCTCTAGAATAAGGAGGTGTCTGTGAACAAAGACCGAAGACTCTTAGATTAATAACGAAGACTTGCGTTTAATTAACAGAAAGAGCTGTATGGTTAAACCCTCTGTTCGCAGTGATCCATTAGTAAGAGGGGCTGTCCATAAAGTTCGTATGCACGAGGGGGGCGGCGGTTGGTGTCATTGCGTGCGTACAGAGCGGGAAGGGTTTGAAGGGAGTGCGTACCGTACGCAAACCGAAAATTTGCCTTTAATGAGACCTCATCATATCACTACACTTCCTCGTACAAAATAAACACCAGAATCGGCTTTTGTGCGTCAAAATTCAACCACAGTATCCTCCACCGTCCATCCCATCATTTGACCTCCTGTGCCAACGCCCATTATTAGTAATCGCAACATTACTCATGGCACAAAGACCGGAGAGTCTTCCGTAAACGCACACCTGCCCTCTACGCGCATAAGAGAAAAAAAACAGGCACCAGGATTATTTTTTGTTCGTATTCAAGATATAGGCTGCATCCGAATCTCTTGTCTAGAGCTAGGTCTAGGTCCTCGCTCCATTGGAAATGCGTGGAGACGCACAGACAATAGACCTAGCCGTAGCCCTGGAAGCCCGTTTTGGACACGGCCATACAATGTACTTTGACATATAATGATGCTAAAGCAAGGTACCCTGGGAGGTCAAAAAATATTTTGAATTCGTATGCGTACAAGGGGGGGGGGTTGGAGCCACTGCGTATGCCATGCGCACAGGGGGATATGGGAGTCGAGGCTGAAACGGAGTCGGCATTTCGTGCTCACGTACTTTATGGGCGGCCCAAGATGCTACATCCCTTACACCAGACCAAGCTATTGCTTTTCTCAAAAATCTCCCTCCGTGTCGACCCCACCCCCCAAAAAATTACACCGATATACCAGTACAGAGAAACAGTTTTGACTATGCATGTACATGTACAACATTATTCCCCTCAGTCCTTTGAAATACCCGGTGAAAGCCCTGTTACACTAATGTAGGCCTAAGTATTTGCAGGACAAAAGCCTGCTGGTTTTCGGGTATTTGTTGGCTGTGTTTGCCCAAGTGACTGTGTTTTGTCCGCCACCCCCTACTTGAATTATTTTTACTTGTGTGACCTTTAGGGGCTGGGTTTTCAATGAGTGTACTTTTGGCGTGCTTGTCACGGAAACGGTGGACGATAAATCAGATTTTTTTGCGTATCTGGTTGTCAATAGAGAAAAAAATACATCGCTGTCTCTGGGACGAGATATCTGAACTCTGAGTCCAAGGTCTGTGAAGTCCAAAGACTACCGCGGCCGGTGGGATGAGCAGTTCGTATTGCGAAGGAAGTATAGTTGTTTGGCGTGGATAAACCGTGAGAGCATGGCTAGTAAGAGGGAACTGTTCGACTTCCAGAGGCTGCGTGATGAATTCAGAGCGGCAAAGACGCCTGACAGCGAGATCTTGCTGGAGGAGTATGCCACTGCGTTTATGGATATCGCAGGGTAAGTGCTGGAACACGCCTAGCCGGCAAGATTAAATCCGTAACTGAAATGCGCCTGGTGATATGACTAGGTTCAGTGAAGTACGGGAAATCGTGTGTAGAATTAATGAAAGCGTTGGTTTGATGTTGGTCCAGGCTTAAGTTTCCTCTTAATCAAATCCCCCCACGAGGGGGTTGGAATTATACATGCAGGCAGGTGTACCGTAACACATCTGATCACCTGTCATCCACTGTATTATGTTTGCGCCCACTACTGTGGACGTTTGGGTTCAAAGAACCACGCTGTGGTTATGGGACTGCTGTTAATTGATTAAATATTGAACAACCGCAATCAATACAAATCCAGGCGATTACATATAGCCTACATGTTTTAGGAAGTCCAGCCAGCTTGGGAACCTATATTATAATGGACGTACCCTATATATGACAGAAGTATCAAAGGTCACTTAAAGCGCTGCAGATGTTCCATCACTGATGATTACCTCGTCTGTGGAAAACCTTGTGCCGCTTTCCAAGAGCTGTATACGCCAAATTCAGACTTCGGAAGCAAAATGGCTGTTCTTTATGTTCGAAGTACAGCAAGCAGCTACTGTGATTGAATTGTCAAAAATTGACACATAATCTACCACAATTTGGTTCCAACAAATCATGAGACTCATGTCGCACTCGCTGCGCTTTCCTATGACACAAACACGCGTAGGCCTAGGTGAAGTCATAAATTATGACGGGTCATTTGAAGCATATGCAAAATATCTCGGGTTTTTGAGAAGATCCCCTCAATACGTTGGGTTCGTTATGGAGCAAACCGCTACGAATGCAATAATGCACAAAGTCGCTGGTGTTTTTGACGACATTTCTGATTAGAAATAGAGGAAAAACCTGCGAAGTGTTTCCAGAAAAAAAATGCTTCACAAGACTTTCATCGCCCAATTGTTTTCGTCTATACTCCGAATGTACAGCTAGCAGCTTTACATTAAAGCTCACACTTCCTTGAAGTCACTGAACTACGCAAAACATGTTCATCATGTTTCATTTTCAAAAGACTGAACTTTTCAACCGGAACTAAAGGGCGTTTGGTCATGGCGAAGCAGTCGTCGACACTACAAAAGATCAACGACTGAAAGCAAAACCACAAAGCAAACAGATACAGTACCTCGCTTGGTTGAAACAAACTAGACAGACAGGTAATCCCCCGGAAATCCCCAACTAACGCTTGCTTCTCTGGGGTTCCTTCTTCTGGTTCTGCTTTTCTGAGCCGGGTTTAATTGAAACATCAATTCGGGTGCAGCCTCAAACAGTTGGCCCGATGATAAGTACTGCAGAGATTAGGGGTGGGGATTTGTTATCATTGGTTTTGATGTTCAACCCAGGTAGACATTATATCAAGAAATTTCATTGGGACTGATGCCATTTTGGCTTTTAGCAAATGCCATCGTTTCGCTGCAGGGTTAGAAACTACGGGCTATGATACGAGAAGTTTCTAAGTATCAACTTTCCTCGAAGATCCCTGGGCCAAATTCACCCAAAACCTTGGCTAAATTTTTTTCAATATATTTTTAAAGAAAAGGACACTTTTTTGAACTTAAAACTAACATTTTTTTTTGGGGGGGTACCATGACCCAGAAGAGACATTAAACATAAAAATAAACAAACAAACCAAACCACCACCAAACAAACAACCAAAGCACACACAAACAGTGAAGTATCGGCGGGCAAGTTTCCCCCTCCCTGTCAGAGACATGCAGCCCTTATGTGGGCGGCACCACCATCTGATCGGGAGGGGGGCTGAGGATTCTTTTCCGGTAAAGAAAAGGGACAGTCGTTTGCAGAAAACAAACCCTTCCCTGAAGACCCGAACATACGCTCACTGCACACAACTGCTCGTTTCTCCTGCAGGTTCTTCGATCTACTGGGAACTGTTTTCGGCTTCGTGGCCACAGAAATCCGCGAGAAGGTTAAGATCCTCCGGGCGCATCGAGCCGAGAGCCCCGAACACTACGCCAGCCTGCAGTCCATGGCAGCCCACGAGATCGCCGCAGGCATTACCCGGGTAAAGCCAACCAAGTCCGGCCCAGTCTCGGGGTGCCGCACGGTGCTCGGTCTGCACCGCACGCTGGAATTCGTCACGCGGTTCCTGTACCGCGTCAAAGACATGCCGGACGAGGGTCACACCAGCACGGCGGCCGGCGAGGAGTACAAGGCGACCCTGGCTCGATACGACTCGTGGCTTGCGCAGAAGGTGGCCCTCTTAGCCATCAAGACGCTACCTACCAGGAAGGTTTTCATCGAGCGCAACGTCAAACAGTCCAAGGATGAAGTGGAGGCCATAGCCGACTCGGCCCTCGGGCTTATGGCGGAGGTTGTGGACATCACGCAAAAGTTGTTGGAGGAAAACAATCTACTCGATCTCCTGTAGGCCTAACTCATCTCCAGCTATCCGTGCAACGGCACGCGAAGCTGTATTCCATTGCTCCTAAGGGAAAATTTAAAAAAAGTTGTTTCTTGTGAAGCGCATCGATACTTTGGTGTGCTGCGCTATATAAAAACTGCGTTATTATTAAACTAGTACTTGTACTCGGTTGGCAAAGTACTCGGACTTTTATGTACCCAGAAATCTAAGTATTCGGCAGTACTCCACGGTACTTGGGAAAAAAGGACTCGACCTCAACACATTTATATAGATTGCAAGGATGTAACAGTTCATTGATGCTATGCAGTACAGTTGATCGAATGGTTCCGCCAACAGAAATAGTCGAGGATTCCTGACGCCTCGAAAACTTACGTTCATGGAAATGTTTTCATCCGGAAATATCTGGAAATTATCCAGCAACATGATATTTAACAATTTTAGGCAGTCATTAATTGAAAGACGAATGCTGGCGAGCTATTTTGGTGGTCAGCAGTTTGCCCGGTTCCGCAAACATTTGCCAGTTCTGCAAACCACGCCATTTGTACAATGGGTCTTGTTTTTTCCGACACTGATGCACACTGAAAGTGCGCGTTGTAACGTTATCTAAAACTCGTTTGTGGAACTGGCAAAAAATCTTACAGTTACTTTTGTATTCAATAACATACTTTTGGAAATGTACAGAACTCACATTTTCAAGGAGATGAAACAAAATCACCGCGACGATCGTTTAAAAGAGCGACAAACACAACATCGCGCAGAACGCACACGCACTGCTGTTGTCAAACGCTATTGGCGAAAAACGATCGTCGCCGATCTTCTTAAATTTACAGCGGCGGTTGTTAGAAAAATCGTTTTCTGCAACATCTTCAAGCAAACTGAGACCGAGAAGTATGAATCCATTCCCGGCATTTTTTTTATGAAAATTGCGAAGCACAGTTCCCACAACAAAAGGGGCCTGTTGCTAGGAAAATCGAGCCTTCTCTTGGTTACGCTTGGGGCCCAATAACCACGAAGAGTGCCTACAGTTTCAGGATACGACGAACGTTCCACTGCACAGTGACCAGTTCACCTCCACAGAAAGGCTACTGCCTACGTTATGGTCTCCGAACTGGAACTTGCTCCGTTTGGGCGGTGTCAGTTGTCGCTCGAACTTGCCTTATGACAACAAAAATGTCAATGCATTTCAAGTATATCGTGTTCGGATAGCTTTCTCTGAGCCCGAGATTCCTCTTAATCTTATATACGCGCGTGATTCTATGTAATGAAGGCGGGGATTGTGAACCTTAAGAACGTGCGCGGATGGTATTCAGAATATTGATAGAAAATTCCCAAAACTAGAATTCCTTGAGAATTCCGAGGGAAACTGTACAAAGACGTGACCCACTATGAACACGTTTGCCCGCGGTCACTAGCTTAGGCCTATGTGAGCTTGTGTTCAGTACCATTCAACTGTACGGCAGACACTGGAATAAAACAAACCAAGGGCAGCCCTCTCATACAATTGCATGGCGAAACTTTTTAATCTTTCTGATTACGCAAAATGTCCACAGCCTGACTGACAAAAGGTCGCCTAACATGAATATTCATCAACTACGCACGTGAACATTCATCACTTCCAATCAACGTTATGAATCTTAAATATGCGCATACATTTACATGTTTATCTTCACATTATCACATGGTTTCCTAAAGGTGACCTTCCACTAATTAACTTTTAAAACTGTGCCGAGGTCACTGGAAGAACAGGTTTTGGAACAGCAAAAGGCTTTTAAAACTATTTTCTTTAAATATCACTTAAGACCTTCCTATTGTTTTAAGGCCTTGTTAAAAGTTAAGCTTTTAGCGGGAAGAGGAACTCATCGACCAATAAGCACACAAAAGTCACTTGGCATTGCTCGGAGGTCCCAAATCAGTAAGCAGATTCTGATGGTCGATATTAGCGGCTAAGCAAGAGAGTGAGCCGAGAAGTAGCAATAGAACTTGTAAAGTCAGCAACCTTTTTATCAGAGGTCTGAAGCTGACGATACTGAGAAGCAAATTTATGCGCTCAAAATGGAAAGCATTTTCGAGAACATCACCATGCGCATGCCAGGTCGGCCCCATTGATTTCATACCATAAGTAGAGATCAATGGGCGGCCGTACCCCGACCACTCACACCAATTCAACAACTTGGAACTGGTGTGACGTTCTTGAATGACCTTGCTTTTTGAAACACAGAATTGGAACTGACTCATCTTTGTGTCCACTTTCATGGATATGCCAAGAAATCTGTACGCGTACGTGCGCGTCCGGTATTTTTGAAATAACAAGGTCATTCGGGAGAAAAGCACGCGTGCCAGTCTGCCCCGGGCCGCATTGATAAGGCAGACTTTGCGTGTCTGTCCAAGTGACCTCGGCAGACACGGACCCTTTTGGGTATGGGTTGAATTTCGAACTGGCTATTTATGCTGCTTCTTCCCACGTCGGTTTTCTCCACGATTTACTTCTAAATCTCTGTACTTTCATGTGTCTTTTGAAGTCCCACTATAAGTTTCTGGCGGCTTTTAACCTGGCCTTATAACTTTTACAGCACTTTCTGTCTACGTTCCTGGCAACATTTATTAAAAATCTTATGTGACAAACTTACCAAATCTCTTAAAAACTTCTTGCTTCTTTGTCAATATATTTACAAGGCATTAGTGGTATTGTTATGAGCGGATAAAAAAAAGTTAAATAGTGATGGAAAATAACACTTGAACAGAAAAAAAAAGTAAATAAAAAAAAAGAATTTCACTGAAGTGCTTTCAATTCTTAATTGTCCACTGATCATCCGGGGTTCTTCTGGGTATTCCAGCCCCAGTGAACTGAAACGAAGTGGTACCCAGTTTCCCTATTGGTATACCATCAGATAACCCAGTGGTACCCGTCAGTCCACTTCTGGGAGTTCCAGTCTACTGCTTTACAACCATATGACATTTATTTGCCACTTCTGGGTCTTTGACCCCACTGCATACAGCCCAGATGTACCCATTTTTTTCACAAGCTCAAATGCTTCACTGGTATTAAAGTCCATTGGAGTTCAACCCAGTGGTACCCAACCCCTTCGACGATTTACAGCGGACTCATCCAACAGGTATCCATGTCTTACAGGTGGGCACATCCACTGGTACCCATCCTTCCTGGGTGCCCTTAGTCACCTTCAACACTAGTAGGAGAGGCACTTATGGCACACAAATTTACTGTCAAAGTGAGGGCAACCACTAGACCACGAGATAGAGCCTTTGGGTTTTACCAGGTGCATGCACCCATCACAAATGATAATTCTCTCCAACCACTAGCGGTTGAGATTAGGTCTGTAGTCCACACCTTGATATCACCAACCCCGGGTAATCACAGCCAAGCACCAGTCTATCAAACTACTCCCACCAGATGATTTATGAAATAATGTTTCTACAAAATCTGGTTAACCAGCTACACTCAACTTAAGTCAAGAAAAAACAAAAATGGTGAACATTCAATGACTCCTATTCAGCTAAAATGTGACTGTACGAAGTATACTTTAAATACAAGGACCCCCATTTGTACAATTTTATTTTTTTAATGGAAATGCAAAACTGAATCGTTTCCAACATGACAGAAAAATGCTTCTAAATCTTTTTTTTGTCCAGTGAAACTGCCTGGCCAAACACTGTCTTATATCTTACTATTCAAAACAAAATCAGGCGAAACCTGGAAAAACTCTGCTTTAAAAAAACACCTCTATTTGAGTACGACTTTGCAAACTACATTTGCCAAATATACACTGTTGCAAAGGTCAAATGCCAAAGGTCAAATAATACAGACAATCCAAAGTGCTTGGCTGTACATAACTCATAACAGTAATCACGCAATCTACATATGAGCTTATTGAAGACATTCGCTGGGAAAAAAGTACTGTTTTACACGTTTAGTCTAGAAGCTTTAAAAAAAATCTTTTTTTTTAATTATTTCCATTTTATATAAGCCAAACTTTATTTCTGTTTTATACACAAGTAATTGCCCTTCATTCTCCCAAAACCATCACATTTTTTTGAACTTGGTTTCTCTCTGTGCAGGAAAAGAAATCACGTAGAAATAAATTAACAACTTTGGGTTTTAAAAAATTACTTCTGGTACAAAATTTGGTTTGACAATTTGATCTGGCATTGTAAACAATCTCTTCACAATCTCTTCACATTGTAAACAATCTCAATGACACAAAATTGATAAAATGGTCTGTGAAACTGTCCTTCCCTGCAAACTGCATGAAATTTTTCACAAATAACTCGCGTAACTGTCACTGACATAGGACTACTTGCCACAAAAGAGGGAGCTCACTTTTAATGTACAGTTCATGACGAGATGGTAACACAGGACCAAGTGTGCTGTCAAACGGTCGACCTACTTGTAAATATTTACAAGCTGCAAATATGTCACAGGCAAATGACTGTTTTTAAACCAAACATTTGAAATCAGAGGCGCATGTTAAATAAGGGACACGAAATCTGTCCAGAAATTATGTAATGATATTCCAAAGAATTTTTTGACAAAAGAAATTAATATCCTCGACAGCATGATGCCAAAATGTGTGATTTCATTTTTGTCCTCTGTGTATTAAAGTCTACATGTCATCATTTACTGGAAAAAAAGCCACAACCTGGCAACATATTTCAACCGCTGGAAGAAAGAAAACCAGCAGAACCTGTTTTCTATGAGCGTTTTCAAAACGAGTGCATTCAGATTAAACTCTGGTTCTGCTGGTTCAAGCCATTTTTAAGGAGCGTTCGAAACCACGTGTTCGAGCTCTGACTAGAACCAGTAAAACTGAAGTGTAAGTCAAATCCACTCATTTCAAAAACGCTCTATGATTGTCAAGTTGTAAAAAAAGCAGTACTTTTTAAGCTACTGAAAAACTAAAGTCACCTCATGTAGCCTACATTTTTTATCCTTTCCTTTACCCCTCAAAAAACAAATTTTACTTGAAGCGGTGTGTACAAAAAGTAAACAAATATTTCATCATGTTGTGTATTGCCGTCTGACAAACAAAAGGAAAATCTAAACCCAGGAGTCGCCGGCTGGCCCTCCGGAGTCCAGGTAAACCTGGCTGGACGGCTGGCGGTCCTTGTTGACTTGGGCGTACACGACGTTCTCTCGCTGTGGCGGGGGATCCTGTGAAAGAAGAGTTGATTAGTTTGCAAATTCTCCTAAGCGTGGCGGAAACACAAAAAACTCTTTGCAACTGTGCTGGTGCATCAGTGCAGGCTTGGGAGAATTTCACAACTGGGACCATTCACAATTGACAATTTGTCAGAAAACTTCTTGAATTCTCCCTAGTTTTCAACTGTGAAGGAAACCCTCTACACCTTTATCTACAATACTGAGAGAATTTAAGATGGTACTCAAGGGACACCAGGCCCCACATGAACTGCCAAACATCTTCATGTAAATGAATCTTCAATACTGCAAACTCCTCGAAACTTCCTTTTCTGAGATTTTAAAACACATGAGACAAGTGATTCATCAGTGAAGTTTTTAGCAGGATTAAAGAAAGAGCACACAAATTAAGTTGTGCACATTCCGCAGAAAAACAATCAAAGAAACAAAGTCGGGGACGAGCGCCCGGAAGTGACGCCGTGGGGGCACATACCCTGCCAAAGACAGCCACTCCTCCAACGGGCGGCCCCCTGCGACTGGCCGAGTCGTTCACCTGGCCGTGGTCGATGGAGGCGTAGTTCAGCTCCCGCATAGGGATGTCATCTCGAGACCTCTCAGACGGAGCTTGACAAAGATAAAGATAAAGGCCAGGTCATACCTCATGTGAATATGAGAGCGAAGCACGTTTGAAGTTGTGATATACCGGCCGCGAAATTCTCCTTGAGGTGAAATCTGTTCAACTCCTCTGAATCTGTAGCACAAGCAGTCAATCAGACGGCACAATTTTGTGTCCGTGCTTGCGCAAAGTATGACTCGGCATTTTGTCTGCAAGACTGGCACGATGAAGATTCAAGGGGTGAAAGATCTTTTTGCAGCAGCATCATGTTTGCGTGCGTCTCCTCGCAGCTCTTGGAGAGAGAGACCAACTGACACTTACCCTGGTTCTTCTCAAAACCGAACAAAGGACAGATGAGAGAGATGCTCGCCATGTGACTGCAAAACATCTTTTGTTGTGCAGTGCGCAAGAAGACGTTGGAGAAAACTAGTTTTTGACCCAAAAGCGTCCTCCCCCCTCAGTAGCAAGCAACATGAGCCAGCGTTGCGGAATGCTTTGCAGGAACGCAATCCGAAGTCATTTCAAAAAGTTGGCAACAAGCAAGCCGAGTGACCAGAGGAAAAGTAAATGCCATTTCCAGTCACCCTAGGACAGCCTCACTATCACCTGAATCCTCCCAAAGTGCAGCCGACCCAATCAGGGGTGCAGCCGACCCAATCAGGAATGTACATGTACTTGACCCAATCAGGGGTGCAGCCGACCCAATCAGGAATGTACATGTACTTGACCCATTCAGGGGTGTAGCTGACCCATTCGGGGTTGTACCTGACCCATTCAGAGATGAGCCTGACCCATTCAGGGATGTACTCGACCCATTCAGGGATGTACCCCACCAATTCATGGATGTACTCAGACCTGCCAACCTTGCCGTACTCCTTCCTGAGGTCAGGCATTACCACACAATAGATTAAAAGGTGATTAAATGAGCCTTCAGTTAAGTTTTTAATTTATTGTGTGGTAATGCCTGACCCCAGGAAGAAGTATGGCATGTTGGCAGGTCTGTGTACCCGACCCATTCAGGGATGTACCCCATCTGTTCAGGGGTGCATCCGGCCCGTTCAGAGGTGCAGCCAGCCTGTCCAGGGGTGCAGAAGGCCCACTCAGGGGTGCGATCTTCCAATGCTAGAGCTCGTTCATATTGGACAGCATACATATTCCAACTGGCTTGAGGTTTCCAAATTGTTTACATAAACAGCTGCCTCTAATTCTCCACACTGTTTTGTTTTGTTCTAGTTTTGTTTATAGTTTCGTTAAGGTTTCACATGCACATGCAGTAAACAAAAGCTTCAGCAATGCATTAGGCATACAACATGAAATCACACAAAAATATTACGTTCTTAGGAAAACAAAGTCAGTGAAGTATTTTGAATTTTCAAAACTTTAACTTTTGAAATGGGACAGGTGGAGCGTAAAAATGAAGAAACTGGCTGGTTGACTGATGTTGCGATGGATGATTTATTCAAAACAAAAAAACCACTGAATAAAACACAATGAAACTAGCTACCTTCTTCACTATAGGCGGACATGGAGTCACGCGTTTGTGGCACGGCCAAACTTCCGGGAAATCGCTCTTGTCTACTGGGCTCGTAAGAAGGAGCTGAACGGGCAAAGCAAAGCGGGCGTGCAAATCGAAAGAAAATAAGTCAAATAAGGATGAGGAGGCGGGGGAGATGGCACAAGCTGGTAAAAACAGGGTTGCACTATCGATCAGTGGCGCTGTGCTGATCTTCATGCGTGCCAGCATAATGGACAATTTGGTATTGGCCAGAGGAGATTTCATGTGAACGAAATTTGGCACATGAACTAATTCCGAAACATTCGGTGGTGAAATCCACAGGCTTGCTGATTTCTTGGTCTTGTTTGTCAAAAGCTCAGCCATCAGACTTCAGGGGAGAAGATAGCTCCCAAGCTCCCACTGCTCTTGCTTGCAATGGGCCGGGGACTTTTTTCTGGCTTACAAAAATAAAACTGGACCCAAGAAACATTTCTGCCGAGCGGCACATGATTTCTTAATTTTTTGGGGGGTCAATGTAGAGAATCAAATGACAACTTGGTTTAATGGAATCGTTGGCAATCTCGAGGGGATTGTGGTCAGTGAAGCAAAATTTGCACCGACAGATGAAAATGCAAGCGAGTAGGTAGCATCAAGCGTCCAAAATACAAGGAGCTTTGGGCCTCTGTATTGACGGCGTCGTGCTTGAATTACACAGCTTCAAAGCTGTGCAGAAGAGTGTACGCATACACAGCATGACATCATCAATACACAGGCCTGCTCCCTGCTGCAGTTAGCACGGGTCCTTTGCTGCGATCCAAGAGCCATGCACGAATTGCTCCAGAACTACCCAAAGCTGCGGTTAAATTTGCACGGTCTACTAATTTCTGAGTGCGCTCACATCAAATTTGAACGAAAAGCAAAAGAAAAAAATGTACACGTAAATAAATCATGACAAGACAGCATTTCTAAACACTACGCAAAAATTCACGGGGTAAACGGGTTGAGCAGTAATGACATTAGTGCACCATTCTACCTTCGTCACTGTATTGGGACACCGACTCTCGGGCACCAGGCTGATCGGTTGCCGGGGGAGATGCCTCTTCCCTGGCGGCTGCTTGGGGCACTACGGCAACAAACGTGCAAGACACAGCATCACGCCACACACAGACACACAAACACAAAGGTTAAAGGAAAAAATCGAAGGTTAGTCAATTCAAACCGGCTACAGCAGGTTAAACAGCCAAACGCATGCAGAGAAACTGAGAAAGATGGCAACAAGAATGAGGCGGCTTTCCTTTCTGCAGATGATGCCAAGTCAGGTGACCAAGTCACATGACTTGAGTCACATGACCGAGTCACGTGACCGAGTCATGTGATGAAAGTAGGCTTCTGGTACATTTTGGGGCAGCCTGAGATGTGATTTGCTGTCCCCTAAATAACTTTCAAACCCTGTTTGTCCTCTGCTTTTCGTAACCCTCACTGAGGTGAAACGAGAGTGGTAAAATTACTCTGCCAATATCCCGTTATTCTGGACATTACAACATCGTAAAGCCACATCTGCGACATTCTGCTTAACTCAACAAATTCTTGTAACAGTGTTAAGGTCCTGCTGGTACCAAGGCCTCCGTTATGAATATAAAGTACAGAGCATAACCACCAGATATACAATGCTGTGAGCTTTCAAATAGGCAAGAAGTTCCAGGATCGGCTGCCTGATGACACCCGCACACTGTCTTTTTCTATGACAGTTTTTTTTCTATTTCAGGATAAAGTGTTACATTTGTGGTCTTTTCTGGTTTGAACAGAGAGCTAAGACTACAAGTCAACTAGCATGCTACCTTCGTCGCTATACGCCGACATAGAATCCCTAACGTGCGTCGGCTGGCGGTAGTTGATGTAGGGGTCGTCTGCCCTGCGATCGTCTCCAGCTACAACAGGCTCGGGTTCTACACATGCAAGGCACACACACACAGAGACATACAAAGCAGCGTGGGAAAAGTCAGAAGGGGTGCAGAGTGAATTCGCAGGTGTGGCCAGGTGTGACTTTTTTTTTCTATTCTGAATTACGAGAGGAAATGCCACTCAGCTCTTTGTTCAAGTCGACGTGGTGAAATGCTGGCTTAGCAATGAGGGCATTTCTTTTAAAATGTCGCTCAATTTTAAGAGATGCGTACATCTATCTCTTCCAACTTGGCAGGTGAAACTAACCAACAGACTTCTTTTCAAACCATGCACAGTTTTGTAATCACACACTGTTTCAAGTTCATAAAGCTATAATTGTTTTTCCAAGATATGTAAACCTCTGTGCGGCTACAAGAAGTGTAGTTTATTTCATTTAATTTCTTGGTATTATATGCTGTCTGGCCTTTCAGTCGGGCTATTTCTGAAGATCATCAGGAGCAAGTGTGAAGATCGTTAGTCTGAAGGTCTGAAAGTTTGAGGTCAGAATGCCAGACAGAGTGTATGTCCATTGTTTCGACACCCTTCGGGGTGCTGATAAAATTAGGGAGTTGTTTATAATGTTCAACAGATCTCCAGTGGAGAACGAAAAAGTCAGGAAAGCAACTCAAAAAGCAAACCGACCAAAACCAAGCACTTCAGTCCGACCGGGACTCGGTTAAATCATACACATGCAGGTTATCCAAACTTGTTAACTGGGAATAATGCCACACTCATGCAAAGCTAATAAATTCATAACAACCATCGGCAGCACAATTTTGCACAGACTCTGACAGTCACATGCAGAACGGATCTTGACAAATGCCAAGGCCTGGCCTTTTTTTTTTTTTTTTTACTGTTTAGTGTTGTACGCAACTCTCCTCAGAAAACATCAACTGCATGCATTCAGTTATGAAAATAACAACTAACATTTCCCCTGCCCAAACTTTCCAAGTTGTCGTGGCAAGTACTTGTCTCAAGCAAACCTGTACATATCTTGCTCATCACGTTTATTTTCCCAGTGCCCAAATGTGGTTTTAAGACCAGATGGCTTTAGGTTCAGAATTAGTGTGTTAACAGGACAATGTGAATGCTTGATTGACCAGGTACAAGTTTTCACAAGAATACCTGAAAGGGTAAATAGATTTCCAGGGTTAGCCCTTTTTTAAACACAGCGACCACATCGTGGCTAAGGGGGTAGCGTGTGCATAAATCGCTCAGAAATCTGCCGATCCCTTACCTTGTGACCGGTAGGTGTCATACGGGTCCCGCCTCTGCCTGGGCTCCTCCTGCCGCCGGTCATAGGAGTCGTAGCCGTAAGGCGGGGCGGATTCTTCCACGGGCGGGGCCGACTTGACCGGCAAGGGGGAGGCCTCGTAATCCAATCTCCTGGCTGCTTTGTGCGACAGGGAAAATTTCCGCATCAGATTGTCTGCTCTTGTTTTCTGTCAATATCCTGCCGTCACAAACTTTCACGCCCACTGGTGTGTCTACGTTTAGGTTTACTGCAGCTAGTGATCGGCTTTTGAAAACCTTTTTTCAGCTCAGACAGCTGGTGTTTCAAAGTGACCGTGGAGCCGGCGGTACGGCTGAAGATGGGGATGAAGCCGCAATTAAAAAAAAACACCAAATTCTATTTGATCTCAACAGGGCTCCGACTTTACTGGGCTAAGGCAGAGAGTATTGTTCAGTAACTTTTTGAGCAAAAAATAAGCAGAGAACCAGTCGCGACACGTGTAAAGTGAATGGCATCTTGTTGGGTAACCTGTTTTTGTTATGTAACCACTTCCCGTGCTTGACATATTTTCGGTGCTCCCTAGCTCCACGAAGTTAGGCTCCGTGAGCTCAGAAAGCAGGGACTTACCGGGGCCGCCGGGTGCGGAGGCGGAGCGCTGGGGGGCAGGTCCGCTCATCCTCTCGCCGCTGCTGGGAGCATGCAGGGTCTGGCTCTTGAGTGGGGAGCGGGTCGTGGTCCAGACGCCCGGGTTGAAGTCCTGCTCGTCCCAGCCGTCCTGCTTGTAGAGGGGGCGCAGGTCCCGGAATCCCCACATAGTGCTCAGGACCTGGTTGACAGTAAAATTCCGTTCCATTACACTATGGGAAATCAACTCGGCTCCAAAGCAGCTTCAGTAGCCACAGCAAAGCAACTTGGGCTTAACTGCGAGGCCCCGGAAATAATTCATGAACCGATTGGGGTCAGGTGCCCATTTTGGAATACAGGTTTTAACCCCTTGAAAAATCACAACTTGCACCTGTGCAACATTCGACATATATCATGTATATAGGACCATCTCAGAATCATTTTTTATTCATCTGTCATTTGAAGCTTAGGGCCCATCTGAGAATCTCGTTTCGTGCATGCACATTTCAAACCGAGGGCATATTTCAAAATGTTTCGGCTGTTCACCGTCTGAAGTTGGGGGCTCATGTCACAGTCAGGTTTCTCTTTCACGCATCAATAAACACTGCAGATTCATATCAGTCACATGCGCAACACGCCACTTCCTTTCCTGTCTCCAAGCGGTGAAGTAAAACCCAGCTCGACCTTCACACCGACCAATTCACTGCAGAGATTTCAGAATTGTTTCTTTTTTTGCCGGAATAAATCTGTCTTTCGTACCTGGAAGGCACACTTGATGACGGCTGACGGGTACTTGTTGTGTAATTTCGTGATGGAGACGAGCTTCTCGATGCCGCTGGCATCTCTTAGGCATCTGAGGGAGAACGAAAAGGGAGATTCCGCATGACGAAATAATGCCACTTTTCAGCGAGAAAAACCGGTAAGATACACCTGTACATGTCGTCTGCGGCAGCTGCCATTCTGCTGGAATGTAAACCCCTTCGGCATTTTAAATTCCGGATTTACTTTTCCCTTCCCTGACCAAAAGTGCTTTTGAGAGAGTGCAAACTAAAAAAAAGAGGCTGTAACTCTTGATTTTTAACCCGAGGTACACAAAAAAAAAAGGTCCGCGAAACCTCAAGGTAAACACCTCTGGCTACTGCCCAAATAAATTTGCCGTTCTCTCTTGATTTGTGGCTCGAGTATAATCGTGTGAGACATTCCCAAAACCTCCTTGCTTTGGAAGTCCAAACAAACAAGGGGTCTCACCTGAATCAGATTCGGGGGAGGGGGGTCCCCTCTAGTTTTGAGGGTGAAGGGGAGATGATAGTGGCGGAGGTGGGATGGTTTCTCACTTTGAATTCTCTGAGAACACGGACAATTTCTCAGAGTTATTGTTGGTGAGCTTCCGTAGGGTGTTCAAGGCAGCAAACTAGGGAGTCGGTACCAAGCTGAGACTTTAATCAATCAAGGTTTATTGGGGGGGCAAACTTCCAGGCTTTTTTTTTGGGGGGGGAGGTTGAAGGAAGGGGATTTACTCACTTGGAATTCTCCGCATTCCTGCTAATGAGTTCCTGCAGGGCGTTCAGCACGGCCACCAGCGAGTCTGTACTCAGCTGCCTGCTGTCGCTGCCGCCTGCCACCGACACGTCACCGCTGGGCAGCCGATAGACCAGATCCTTCATGGCGTACTTGCCTAGTCACACAGGGTCATGAGAACGCAGGATTAAGCGTTTGAGGGATCTTACCCCATCAAAAAATGTTCCAATTTTGGACCACAGGTTGTGGAGTTTAGGAATGACTCAATTCCAAAATTTAAATGAGGCAAAGTTATTCATACATACGCAATAGAACTTGTAAACTACAAACCACAATCTCTTTGTGGTCACGTACTGCCAAAATCAAGCCAAGCCTTAAGCCGTTTACTTGGCCAGTTTCACGGTTGTCAAGTCAAGTCAGGTCTGAAGCCACGCTCAAGTGTGCGTAACCCCCCCCCACAACATTTAGCAAAGGAGGACTCACCGATGAGTTCCTTATTCCTGGAGTCCAGCGACAGGTTGCGCAGTGCCCTGGACACGGCAGCCACTATCTTGTCGTTTTCCAATCGCAGCAGCTCCACCAGCACCGCCAGGCCCTTTTCCTTACGCACCTGGGCTCTGATGTACAGGGCCCACTACGGAGGAAGGAACGACACCAAAGAAATCACAGCATTCAGTGACCACTGATGAGAGAGGTTTTCATAAGGTTTGCACAACACACGGTCGGACATTAACGCTAACCCTCCTCAGTCCTCCGAAATCCTTCGGGTGGTTTTGGAGGGTTTTTGGAGGATTGAGGGCGAATGGCAAGAGTGTTATGGCTTGTAGAAAGGATGCAATGCATGAGGGCCGTGGGTTAGACCTTGTGTTGTTTTTGCCTAGTCGTGCATAAATCCAGCCCCATATTTCTTTGGAATCAACCGCACCGCTCAAGAATGCCATTCGCACTGCCTCAACGCAATGACAGGGATTACCGGAGGATTTTGAAGGATTGAGACACTTCCAAGTCACATTTCCAGGAAATTTTGGAGGATTTCAGAGGATCGAGGGAGAATCCAATTTTTTCACCCCCGAAATTGGAGGATTTTGGAGGATTGAGGAAGGGTCCCCAGCAAAAAGGGCCTAGGGGGTTAGGGTTTAAAAATCCTCCTATGCAAAGGTGCAATCTGCACCAAGTCGTCCGATCAGTCTGTAGCGGGAGAAGTGGAAGGAATTTTTGACCGGCTGTGACTGTCACAGCAAAACGCAGGTCAACCTTTGTGGGGTTTTTTGGCGCCATGGGAGACTTGTACCAACATGCACCTGTCTTGTGCGTTCATGGCACAAGTACGTCGGTTAGATGGGTGACGCGGTTGTCACCCTGCATACCAGCTGATCTCAAAGATTTTCCCAGAAAAGGACAAATCTTTAGCTCGAGTGACATCATTTTGTAAGGGCATTGGATTTCCTGAATGGGGGGGGTGCACACTGCATGGGTACGACGGCAACAGCGCTCAACGTGCACAGTGCACTGAAACTGGACCCTGCTTTCTGCTGGCGTTTGATCCAGTCAACTGTGGCGCACTGCCCCAATATCCACCGTTGCGATTCGTTGCGGTTTGCTGCAACCTGCTGGGTTGCATTCTTTTGCGTACAGCTGGGCTCTGCTTTCAGCTATGTTGCATTTTGTTACGTTCAAAAGGGTTCTCAGTTTAGCTGTTGCATTTGAAAAGTTTTCACTTTAGCAGGGTTAAATTTGGTTGCATTGAGCAGGCTACGTAGACGAGAGCTAATTAGATGTGTACAAAATTGCCCCTTTAAATATCTGTTGCCGACTGTTTCGATTCAAATCTCGTGGGGGGAGGACTCTCGGCAGACAACTCACCCTCCACTCTCCCGAGGAGATGTTCTGGATGGTGCCCGTGGTGGCCTCCAGGGTGACGTGGTTGGAGCATTCCGACAGCAGCTGCAGGTAGGGCCGCACCATCTCGTGGGCGAACAGCAGCTCCGCCCCCCTGGGGGGCTGCTTGCGCTCAGGGATGGGCGTGTTGGGATCCCACGTCATGGTTTTCCTGGGGCGAGAGGGAAAAAAAACAGGCAAGGTGTGGTGGGGAACGGGAGAGAGAAAGGTAAAACCTGGGCCCAAATTCTTAGACCTTCACACCGCTGAGCAACAACATTCTCGGCGAGCGTCAGGAGGGAACCGGCAACGGGCAGCATGTACATCATGGCGCTTTGGCCGGTAACCCATTTTGGCTCAGCACATTTTTTTCCCGGGAATGGACCTGCCCTGGGTCTACTTACTGCAATGTCGACGTTGAGTATTTGCTGCTTGGGGTGGAAGCTTCCATCTTCTTTTTCTTGTTGCCCCCAAAGCAACCAGAATTGTCATCGGCTGTGCGAATAATGCATACATGAATACATTAAATGCATGAATATTCAAACAACACCCCCCACCATGGGTCAAAATTCGAAAGGGGGACGTGTCCCCTCCCCATGAGTTTGGTGTGGGGGACACAATGTCAAATGTCCCCTCCATGTTTTAAGCAAAACAAAAATACTAAAGGAATCCTTGGTGTTCTTATCAGAAATATTCACCGGTAATAATAACAGTAAAAATGTGATATAATGCAATGTACCTGCTGAAGCAGCATGCAGCGTCGAGAATGAAGGAATATGACACTTTACAGTCGAATTCATGTATATGCTTTACATGCACTTGTTGGTGTTAAAGACAGAGGTCTACAGCTCTTGCTTGAAGCAATAAGGAAATTTCTCAAAATGCCAGCTACAAAGTCACTGCCCCCCATCTCTGAGAACTTTGGTACGAGCAGTCTGGTTTCAGGGTCTCAGGACCCTGTATGCCTGAGGCTACGACAGGGGAACCACACAAAGCCAGAAGTGAAGACACAGCCCGAAAATCATGCGGCTGGGAGGATGCCAGCCATAGCCATGATTTTCAAAATGGCTGCTCAAACATGTACACATGAAAATACAGAGCCTGTTGAGATCAATAGATAAGCCGCTGTAAGCCTGTGATTAATGAATTCAGATATGCGACAGGTTTAAGAGAAATCATGCATAATTCATGACATGTTAAATGGCACGTTAATTATTCAGTGAATGGTTAGCATCATGTGACAGGGCATTACACTTTTTTCCAGGTATCTTCCATACGATCACAGCACAGATCTTGTTGAAGTTTCCTTCACAGCTTCAAGGACCAATCCGGAACCATTCTAAGATTTTTTTTTTTTTTTCATTTTCCGCGATCCTCGATTCGCTGGAACTTTTACCCACGGCCAAATCCAGTTTCTCCCCCCTCCCATTTTTCAATGGAACTTCCACACCCCCAGGAAGGACTTTTCCAATTTCTTCTACACGCCTCTTTTCTTCTGACCTATAAAGGTCATCCCTGTCCGGACAAAGATTCTCAAACCAACTCTATCTGGCGACATCCATCCCTCTTCCTGGTAAAAATGGAGGGGGGAAAGGGGAGGCATTTGATGACTTTCGTCAGGAATGCGTGATGACCAAGCTTCTGACCCTTCACTTACCTCCGAAACATCCGGGGTTACTCCTGGCTGCAAAACCCACATGGAAACGAACACAAAAGACATTTACACAGCTGCTCACAATGGCTGGTACCCCGTAAGTCCAGCATTCACGTTGCAGTATTTTGTTTACTTAAATTCACTGCTCCTTTTGGGCCTCTCTGTGCTTTCGTTTCAACAAATGTCAGTACTCTGTCACTCCTCAATGCCCTGGAGAATAGAGGGTTTGCATGGCTGCCATCTTGCAGGCCATGCAGTTTTTTTCCACAGGGTATGCACAAAGGAGGTTCCCTGTAGAACAAAAAGAACTGCCCTGCAAGATGGCTACCACGCAAAGCCTCTATTGTGTATGTAGGATAGTCTGAAAGGGCAGATTCCTTAGAATGCGAACATCACAAAATCCCCCCCCCTAAAAAACCAGCTGCACTCAATGCAGAAATACGCGTACGGTTCCACTGGTTAAAAAGGATCAAAGGCTTATCTCCTAGGGTAGGTGAAATACGTGCCACTTTGTAAAGACATGTTTCGTTATTAAGACGGACGTTTTTTGTTTGATGTCAAGGATTTGGCAGCATTAATCTTGGACAGAAACTCATTCACAGATTGGTATAAACTATTTCATGGACCAACACAAGCAGGCTATCACATACTGAACGTGAAAAAAAAAATAACCAAAAAGTCCCGTTCTCAAACAACTCACGTTTCTTCTTGGCCGGAGATCCCGGTCCGTTCCTGGCGGGTGTGGCCCTGGGAGGAGGGGCGGGAACGGCGTCTGGGTGATTGACCTCGTTGGAGATCTTGAAGGACAGGTTACGGATGATGCACATGGCATTCTCCACGATCTGAGGAACAAAACCCCCCAAAAGTGGCCAAACTCTCTATCAGTGAGACTCACTCCATCATGTGACCATTCTGCCAATGTTCCATCGCTAGAATACAGAATACTGGGCAAGGGCGGATCCAAGATTTTCAGAAGGGGGAGCCCAAACTTGGAGGGTCAAACGTGAGCATGCAGTGCCATGCTCTTACAATGTAAATGTTGTGGAGCCAAGGTACAATTCATTGTCAAGAAGGCAGTGGGTAGGGGGCGCCCAATGTGCCCCCTTGAATCCAATGGTCCAATAGTTCTGATGCTTGATGCAGGTGGGATGATGTGACGGTTTGAATCCATCCCGTCTCATGCTGCCTGTGTTCTTCCAGCAATACACCTTAACCACAACTGCCTGTCTCCACAACAAGATAGACGTCACTGGCTTAAAACCCTCCTCCATTTCACAGGGGTCATGATTTCCTGACCACCATAACCAAAAGTGCCTCACCGGTCAAGGGTCAAAGGTAGTAGTATTAACGCAAACCAAGAGCCCCTTACCTTGTTGTCCATGTTGTTGGTGTCAATGGCCGACTTGATGACGTGCATCAGAGCGTCCACCAAACCTGAGCAGTCCCGCATTTTCTTACGGGCCTCTGGTCCGCCGGAGCTCAGATTTCTGTGGAAAGGGAAGACAACAGAGAGAAAACATCACTTTCAGGTGGAGTGTTTGGTTTGGACTTTTAGGGGCAGTTCATCCAATACGCACTGTGTCTAGGGCCTGAGAAACAAACTATGGGTCCTATAAAAAATTTTTAGGGCCGGCAAAGATACCTGATTCTCTTGAGTTTACAAGTTTAGAAGAGCTTTCACCACTTGCTGCCGGGTGCTTTGGAAAATGCGGTGCACATAATCGGGACTTTTTCAAGATTTTCAGTTTTCAAATTCTTCAAAAATTCACCATTTCAATTAATGGACATTACCACCCACACGAAATACTGTCTGGTGGCCACTCTAGTCTGACAGACAAAATCTATTGACGCCTGAGTATTTCAGCCAGGCCTGCAGCCTTGTAAAAAGAGCCCAGATTGTGCGTTGTTACATAACGTTCTTCTGTTCACGAATCTGACACAGTGCGCTGCTGACCTCTTTTCAATAGGGGCCAGGTTAGCATGCAACGGGGCTGTGCTGGGGCTGTCCTGTGTGGCTCATCGGTGCGGTGGGGGAGACAGTAACCCTTACCGTAGACAGCCAGTGCTGTTTCTGTACACGCCCGACCAGGCATATTCAGTCGGCAATCGGTTGTCTGGGTTGCCCGGTGTCCAGCCCGAGTCTGGGACGATGATGTCATTCACAAAGACCGCGAGACCGTCGTCCAGGATCGGCTTCTTGAGGGGCTGTGGGAAAGAGGAGAGAAGGGAAATCGAGTGAGACACACGAGGGATGCTTCTGCCACCGACTGCAGGTTTTGTGCACAATTCAGTTGAAAATTGGCCATGCCCATCCCAAGGCGTGTGATGAAAACTGTTCCACTGTGTATGCAATTCCTATCATGACGTGGTCGCGACACAATTTTAAAATGACTACGGCTTCGCTAACCACTACATGATATGCTGTCTACAAACTGGTTTTCTTTACGATCAGTCTTAACAAAAATCGGATCGTGCGGAAGTAAGGAGGGTTGTGAGTGAGTGTAGGCTCACCTCCGATGAAGACAAATTCCAAAGGGTCCCCGTCACGACTTCTCTGGTCTGAAAGAGACAAAATGAAGAAGAGGAAAGGTGCATCAGGCATCTTTTGAGAAGGTGGGGTGACAGATTTCGTCCTTCATGATCTTGGCCGTCCCATGCCCGTTCTTTTAAACCCTACATTTGGTTTTGTTGATAGGGTCATGTGTAATTCATGCCTCCGCATGTGTCAGTCCATTTGCATCCAGCTGGCCTAAGGGGGAAAACGTAAACGTCTCTTGGCCTGCAGGTCTCTGAGAAATAGGCGTTCCACGTGAAGGCTCTGCCTTTTTCCCACGAAAATGGAGTTCAAGTGATCGTGAGACGTCACTCAACACAACTCTGTAGGTCATAACTAACGGGGAAAAAAATTGCATCGCGACAATATTAGAGAGAATGTTACAGAGGTGGCGGGTTCTCGGACATCAAAGGGGGAGGGTCTTACTTCTGGGTCCTGGGTTGTCCTGAGCAGGCGGATCAGGGCGGGTATACCACCGGCGTTCTTGATGGCCACTTTGTTCTCCTCGTTGGCCTTGCCGTAGGAGATGTTGCGTAGTGCCCCGCAGGCGCAGCGGTGGATGTCCGGGGTGGGGTTGCCCAGCAACTCCACCAGGATGGGGATGCCGCCCAAGCTCCTGTGACGACGAGGGGAAAGAAATAATGAAGGAAGTTGTTGGTCTTTAAAGTCTGGAATCTTCAGGAAGCATTTGTACATGACTGGGATAGGAGTCGGAATCCGGCACCTGGTAATTAACGAGTGGGTAATTCCAGAAATAAGGTGTCCAGAAGTATGACATTTTTGTGTCCCTGTTACATCTGATCTTTGTTATTTGACATGGAAATATCACCGGAATTGATTTCAAACTATTACTATTTGTTTGGCAGGTCATTTACATTAATTCATCACTCTTGGAAATTAGAAACTGAGTTCTGAACTTACAAAATCACATGTCAGATGTGACAGGGACACGATAAAAATTGGACCTCTAATTTCTAGAATTACCCAGGCACAAAGCAACTTAAAGTCCGTGGGTGGCGAGTTGGCAGACATCCTTTAAAGGCTGGGTGGAAAGGGGAGAACAAGGAACTAACGCTACACACTACAGACAGCAAACTAGTCCGACCAAAAAACAGACTGACCTGGTCTTGTTCTTGATGGGGTCGTCCCCGTAGGTCAGATGCTGCAGGTAGCCAGCTGCGTTGGCCACAATGGCCGGGTTGGTGTGGCTCAGGTAGTCGATGATCTCCTGCAGGTCGGGCGTCCGCCACTGCGGGTCATCTGCGGACAAGGATCCACGGTCATTAAGTCGCGCCGTTGTACACTTGTACTCTGTTGGTACTTGTACCCGCATGGAAAAATGTCCAAATACATATTCGCCACAAAGTACTCGTACAAATTAAACTCTCGCGTTCACGGCTGAGAGCTTATACCCAAGCAGGATTACTCATACTCATGGAAATAAGCACAACTATAACACCGTAAGGTTAAGTTCAAGAATCCTGCTGAGAATGCAGAGCAATTTGAAAGTTGCCCAAAAACCACTTCTCTTGGATGACAATGAGCCAGCTCAGTATTTCGTAGAGCCAAGGTCTTTCGGGAACAAATCGCGCGCCTGAGTCGGCGTACCGTATGGCTGCACAGATAGGACAGACTATCGCGACAGCTGTTCCTGAATAGCCTTGCGCTGAACATGCGCTGTTGGAATACCGACCTGGCTCACTGCGGACCACAGAACCACAAATTGGTTGCATATTTACACAACAAAAACAACTGCTGCTGCTGCTCCAGCAACAACAGCAACAACAACTAGAAACAAATACATAAACAAGACATGAAAACATGCCATCACTGTGAACAAGCCATGCTCGTTAACCCTAGCATTCCCAAATCCTCGGATTTTAATATGATTTTACATACACCCTAGGGGATTAGGATTAAGTCGACCTTGGGGGATCTTGGAATGTCTGTATTGAGTTCTGTGGCTTGGGGGGTTAGTACGTGTACACGAATCTGGACATTGTGTATTTCTAAGTACAGATATCAACCACAGTGAGACGAGAACAAACTGGAAGGGGAGGCGAAGGGACAGGGGCGAACGTGGATCACAGAGAACAGGACAGTAGTTGACATGCCTCCATGCACACATTGAACTGATTAGTAACACACACACACAACATAAACTCCACGGTATGCATTAGATGCCAGCAATCATGCACTATAAAAACTATCTGCAAAATAACCAGTTTCAACAAGTGTACCGTACTCGATTGTTTGCTCATATTAAAAAGACGTTTGCTCTAGTAAGCAGGAGGTCGTTGGTTCGAGTTGCACCCGAGCACGCTTGTGGTGTTTTCACGAGTATTTGGATCCAAACACTGAGTATACAGTGTTTTCATAGATGTCGGGCTAGGCAACAATCCAAAATTAATGAACATCTCCCCGACGCAAATCCATCCTTGAAAACGTATCAAAAAGTTCAAATGCAAGCAAGGGTACACAGTGTTGTTGGAAATTTCACAAGTGGTATTTGGTGCTTGAAGATCTTTGCGCGAGAATTCTCTGCAAGATCTCTGTAACGAAAGAAATCCGGACTTTCACAGAAAATCTCTCAGAAAGAGGCTTTCTTGAAACTGGTTCTGAGAGTCTGTGAGCTCAATAAGAGCCTTTCACCAACCAACCACTCTCATTTTGCCAACAACTTGTATGGGCGGCCAAAGTTAGCGTGAGTTAATATCTGGTGTTCTGATAGCCGTGTGAGATTTTAGACACTTTGTGAATGAATCTATTAATCTAAAACCTATTACAGTTTTAGGAACCATTTGTGCATGTAGGGGGTCTGAGACGTCAAACGAGCTGACCAGACATGTATATGTAGCAATAGCAGGCATGCTGTCACAACTCGACTGAATGTCAGGCACAAGTACAACGATGAAAGGCATGCACCATGGTATCTGCATGTCAATGTACATGTACTGTACCGGTACATTGGTTTAATGCGACCGTACAGTTGGCCTGCATTTCTATTCTGTGCTCATCTGCGGTACTGTCAATTGGGCCCCAGTTCCGGGGACCTGCCCACATTTGGTGACAACTTCACTTGGATAAATTCCCTTGGCTAAGCTTTGGCCTGTCTACATTAATACCAAGTTTCCAGCAACTGACACAACTGCTCATTCACGATCGCACTATTTCTTGAGATGTAATTTTCTGCTAGTTGGAGGTTGTGAGTTCAAGCCCAACCCAAGAAAGCCAGTGGTCTTGTTTTCACAACCCCCTGGACAACACTAAATATACAGTGTTTGTAAATGCAAGTCGGTGCAAGGCTAAATTCCAAAATACCATTGGAAAAAAAAATAATACAAGAGTTCATTTCCACAGTAGAGTGATTCCACAAATAGACTTAGATCCCATTACTGCATTGGCACAAGGCTCCTGGACAGGTGGCACAACGCTCATGGACAGGTGGCACGCACGCATCACACGCCTCTTCAACCAATACGGTCTTGTGATTTGCCAAATGCATGCATGCATTAAGCGTGTGCGTTTGCGTGCGGTGCCACCGCAGTTATGGTGTCTAAATCGATTAGTCAACACAGACACATATGCTTCTTAGGCTGCGTCTAAATCACTTGGCTGCAGCTTGGAATCACACACGACTCAGTTGGAACCGGCAACGGGCACTACCACAGACTCTTGTGTCGTTTCTAGCCGCAGCCAAGTAATTCGGACGCGGCCTTGTTTTTTGATAAAAGAGTTGGAGCGACGCACGCACGTGCCATGCAACAACATGCAAACATAACTGAAACTATGCACATGTACCGGCCAATGGGGCTCTCCCGCTACCGTTCCCCATGGACGATTTACGCGGAATAGAATCCTGGCTACGGTGGACGTGGTGGTGGGGTGGACGGTACCTGTAAGAACCTGAGGGGGTGTATGATTGGACGATTGGTCCGTGAGTACATGTATGTGTGTCTGGGGGGGGGTACGGCATCGCCACACAGGCAGACAGGAAAAGTGAAAGACACGAATGCTAAATTCAGACATGAGACATCTGCCCCTTGGAACTCATGAGCAAAACACCCCAATCTGGTAAGCACAGAACGGCTCTGCTAAGCAAAACACAGGGTTACCAGCTAAATATGTAGCATGGTAGTATCGTACTCTGCTTGCTAGTTCCATGAAATATGACACAGGGTCCAAGGTTCAACTACACGCGACATGCCTAGGTACGATGCTCATAACATTCCGAGTGTTATCAAAGTTCAGTTAGGCAAATCACGGCAAACAATCAATCAATTTCTGTCAACGAAACCTTCACACAAGTGGTATCATGTCCTAACACTGGAAGGTATGCACACACACAAAATATTTCCACGAACACAGATCACCGTGATAACCTACAACTGTACATGTAAGCAAAACATGATAACTTATTTTGTTTTTTTATATTTCTTATACGTATTTTTTTAATTTTAAATGCATTTTGATGTACCACTTTGCTATTCAACCTTAGGGTTGCAAGTATGTGGCAATAAACCTGTAATAATAATAATAGTAATCATGAACACAACTGAAATAATTTTTTTTCTTCACATATGAGAAGACTCAAGAAGATAAGGAAACTTTCAATTCAGGCCTCCGTGAGAACTTTGACAACTCTGACTTCTTCACTGGTACTCCACACCACCTCTTCATGTCTGGGACAGAGAAGGGATACAGTGAACCAGCTGTCTCGGCCCCAATTCTGATCTTCCCTGGTATGCTGTCATTAATTCCTCAATGGAAACAACTGAACAGTGTACCGCAGGAAGCCAGCCGACATGGATCGCCCTTCACCCATTGGGCAAGTATGACCCACGACTACAGTTAACTATTGATTGACTAATGACGCCCTAATGATGAATGGTTCGGACACTCCAGTGGACTATTTGGGACCAGGCCCAGTGCTGTGGTCGCACTGCTGGTTATCAATAGCTGATTTCATTTGTCATTACAGAGGGAACCATTCACATGAAAATAACTGTACAAGATTTCATTGAACATGCACACTGTGAGAATCACAGCCAATGGTGAGCTGTGAATAATGATGAGATTTGAAAAACTTGACTGGGCTCATTTGAAAGTAACTAAATTGCGCATGCTCGTTGTTTAAAAGCAGTTAACTGCTGAACGAACTATGCTTCGCTCTCAAACTTGTCCATTCTTGTTGCAAGTTTAACAACGCCCTCTTTAGCTATTGCCAATGGTCCAATATTGACCCATGAACATGTGAAATAGGCGGCACCATTTTCCAAATGGTGCAACTGTTTTTAGAATGTAAAATTCATGGCAGAATTCTATTCTATACTGTACACAAAACCCCCTGTCGGAGTACTGACTCTGATGCAGAAGTGCAATAGGTTACTTCACAAAGGGGTGCTAAGACTCCAGAATATCGGGGGAGGACATTCAGTAAGTGTGTTGAATTTGGTTGGATTGGTGGGTCTGTCCATGATGGGCGGAGCTGACAGGTGGAAGGTGGGAGGACGGGCTCTGGACTAACCTTTGTCATATTTATCATATTCCACCGTGTCCTGACTTCCGGTACGATCCATCGCGGCCAGCGGGGCCATCTGTTCGTGGGCGGTGTCGCGCGTGATTTCATCCGGGTGGTTATCATATGGGTACCGGTCACCTATGAAAGAAACCATATGATTGGTCAGTAGACACAGAAGCAGTTGCCTGATTGGTTAGTCAGTAACCTATGGAATCTTTAAAAGTTGATTGGTTAAAGGGCCCAACAATTGGCCCAAGTGGCCTATCAGCAAATTGTGATTGGTTAAAATGGTAGAGTGCAGTAATGGACAATTCAGACAAACGTCGATGACAAAGAACATGATTGGTTAGTTGGCTGTGGGTTCACCTTCACAGAAATCCCATGGGTATTAGAAAGGTGCAATAGTCATGGGGGTTTTTCTACACAGCAAGTTCTACGGTGTCTAAGGGGGGACTATTAAGGCAGAGGGTGACGGTTTTGTGACGGGGCGTGTCTGCCAGAAAATGACGGCATACCAGTGCTGGCATGCTGTGCAGAGAAGCAAAAAGTACGGCAAGTGTGCGAGCAAAGAGAGAGGTGTGAACCACGACGGATGACGACGGGAGGGAGGGGTAGGGAAAAAGTTACCGAGCATCTCAAAATTTGTTACTTCTGCACAGGTGCACGGTCGTTAATTGCCGCTTTGACCAATACGGCACTGCAATTAAGCAAAATGAACTAAAGACTCGAGTTGAAAAATGCACATTACTATGTGCTTGGCCGGTCTTAAACATTCGTTTGAGACAGGCTCAGGGGAATGGACGCGACTTATGCCCATGCCGCAGGCGCAATAAACCAAGAAGTAATAAATCGCCCCCCCCACCTGGAAAAGCTTTTAGTGTGAAATAGCACAACATCACTTAATTCTGCTTTTATGAAGAGTGGGCCACACACTACTGCCAATTCTGCTTGCCGCGTCAAAACCTGTTCGCTGAACTCATCTGATAATCGAGTATTTTGAGATGCTCTCTAAGGTTTCAGGAAAATGCCAAAAATCAAACGGAGACCAATACAAGAAGTGTCCTCAGCCACCAGCCAAGGTTTACGTAGGGGGACTCCAAGAGGGACAGACAGAAAAACAATATCCTCACTGTAGTCCCTGTCGTCGGGGGGCAGGCGCGGGTCCCAGTTGTCGTGGGGGTGGGCTGGCTGCGGGTAACGGTCGTCGTAGGGATCCGCGTAATTATCGTAACTGTCTGCTCCGGGGGAAAGCAGGAGGAAGGAGGGAAAAGCAAAAATAAATTGCAGTTTGGATGATCAGATGGAAATGGAACCGAAACGCAGATGGGAGAGGTGTCCAAATCATTAAAAAAAAAAAAAAAAAAAAAAGCTGCAAAGTAATGACGGTCGCTGGAATGAGAACCGAAACAGGTGGGCACTCGTCACGAGGGGCTGCCGGTGTCTGAAGGGGAGAAATAATTATTACAGTGAATGCAGCCATGATTGGATTTGGCTCTGCAGGTTGGTGAGTTTGGAAGGTACAAGGAGGCATTCAGAAAATGAACCGTGGGTCGGTTTGTTGTTGGACGACAGGCAGGTCTCCGTGGAATGTGGTGAGCACAGGCAACTCTTCACTTCTCTCAAGGCAAGAAAGTTTGCGGTTAGCAGCCACTCAAGAGAAGGGGAATTTGAGCAGAGAGCCGAGGTTTCTTTCTCAGAAGATGTACGAGAATTGCTAGAAATGTTTAACTATGCTGTACAGAATGTACAAAAAAAGTTTTAAAATGAAAGAATCCGTGACCTCAAAACTGAAACCATGATCCTTTGTTCTTTGGGAATTCACCGAATTCACCGGGCAGGGTATACAAAGGTAATGAACATTTTGTGGTGCTTGGATAAACAAATCAGTGAGTGTTACTGGTATTCAACTGTTGATTCAGCAAACCGGTTGGCGGGCAACCTTTGGAAGGAAAGTTTCTAACGCACTTCACTCTTACTTCGCAATGTGAATCGAGAACTCTTCAGTTGTTGTATCTGTCTCAAATGTCATTACACAAATACCACCCCAAGTTGTCAAGAGGTAGTGCAGTAAATTTTGTTTGTGGGGGAAAAAATGCTTTCAAAGAAACGTTTGAGCTGTCAGAGTGTCTCATTTTCTAAAAAAGTTCAGAGGTATGACTTCCTGCTTCGATAAGGTGCAGGTAACGTCACATGACGGGGCTGTAGTAACAAGCATTTAGAATTACAAGATTGGTGCGCAGGTGTGAGGTCTTGCTCTTACCTCTTCGCTCGACGGGTCTCTCATTGTAACGATCCCCGTAGTGGGGCGATGGAGGATCGTAGGAATTCTGCGACCTTGGCACCGTCCCGTAGCGATCGCTGCCCTCCACAGACGGCGCGTACACGTCGCTGGGTGTGTCGTTGTAGGAGCGGTCGTAGCGGTGCCGCCCCGGCTCACCGCCTGTCCGGTAACCGGGCCGGTCGCTGCCGTCGATGGAGGGTGTCCGGTCGTACTGGTCGCGGTAGTCATCAGTCGGGTGGGTGGCATAGTCCGAGGGGTGGGCGTAGTCGCGGCCGTCGTAGGCTGGGGAGGTGATCGCGGGGGAATCATGCCCGTCCGGAGAGTGGACAACGCGAGTTTCAACTGTGTGCTTGGTGATGGTGACCTATGAACCCAACAAAAACACAAGAACAAAAATAGGGCGCATTGAAAATCACATTATGGAAAGCAAACTCACTGTTATCTATCATGTTATAAGAATTAAGAATTGTGTACTTCTGAGCCCATATCTAAAAACTACTGTTGCTCAAGGTGCTGTAATGATTATTACCCCCGCTCATCATGCCATGAAACTAATTTCTGCAGTTACCTCCGGGTCTCTACCCACGCAGGTACCCCTTTACTCTCTTGGGTGGAGAGAGGCAAGCATGGGTGAAATTGACCGACCCGAGGTTACGACGTGCAACCAGCCCCTGGATTCAAACCCTGCAAGCCCATGATCGAGGGGCCACAGGCTTGGAAATCCACATTCCCCAAAGACAAGTGCCCGTCTTCGTTCTCCCTCACCTGTGTGGTCTTCTTCACTTGCTGCTTGGGTCCTGGGGACTCTGCGTGGCCGTTGACAGCTGGACTGCTGTAATCTGTCCCGACAAGAAAGTACCGAGAGGAAAACAAAAACCACCCCAAATTATACCAATCCCACAGCAGCAATCAGAGGAACATGTATTTCCGAGGAGTGACCCACACCACTGTATTTTCCCTGTCCATGGTCCGATCTTCGCAAGTGCATTTCATCCAAGTATTAACATCGACGAAAAGCAGGGCAGCAGAGGTTTAAGTCTTGGAGATGCTTATGTTTGTTTCCACTTAGTAAGAGACACGCTCTGCTCGTGACTGTTGGTACACATTAGAAATTCGTACAGTACAACGGGGGCGTGCTTCCCAACGGTAATGAAAGAAACCAATAAACTTGGCATGGAATACCAACCAGCTACGGTGACTAGCGACGCTCCGGCCAGAGAGGTATCCGGTAGTCATTTTGGACACCCCATTTTGTGACAAAAGTACTTGACCTTAGCAACACGGAGGCTATGTTGTCCGCTTCAAGGCAACCCTGGGACCTGTTTGTGTCAATGTGGATCCGGATCAAGATCAGCGATCCGCTGTCGGTTCACCGATTCCAAAACCCGACTAATGGATGACGCAAACCAGCTTTGGGATCCCTGATCATGATCCAGATCCATGTGAAACAAAAAATCCCCTTGACACCCAGTTTTCAAACGCCGGCTTGAAACCTTGTGTCCGACTGCCATATGCCCAACCTTACGGACTTATTCCTGCATAGTGTGCTATCCAACCGCTGTAATCGTCTCGCAAGAAGCAATCGCATGGACTACATGTTGACGGTGAATGCAGGTGAGAAAGTCTTACCACTGTAGCTCCTGTCTGGTCCGTTACCATAGCCGGAGTAGTGCCTACTGTCTGTGGTGTCCATGACTTCGTGTTCACGCAATGCGTTCCTACGACCAAAACCCCAGAGATCACACACAAACACTCAACGTTTAGTCCCAAATTTCACAACAATTTGTCAAAGTAAGAAAACACACTTTTTCGAGGGGGGGAGATCACGAATCTGGATATCTGGAAAAAACATAAATCCTGAGAAAAACACAATCGTTCCAAAAATACTGGGGGACGTGCGGAGAGTGGAGTGGGGTGTGTGTGAGAATTCTAAAGCGCGGTAAAAACTCACAAGGCTGAATCGATGAGGTGTGAGTTGTTATAAGTCTTGGTGTCGACGCTACTCTCGCTCTCGAGGACGGACTCGTTCACTGCCGAACGGTGGAAGGAAAAGGAATCCTCAGTTTCACTGCAAATTGAAACCCCCCCCCAAAAAAAATTGAATAGATGAAAACTTGTAATCGTGCCTGAAACACTTTTAATTACTTCTGGTAATGACAGGGATTCCTCAAAGAGCAGCCTAGACACTGCAGCTCATAAGCCTGAAGAGACCTGCAGAGAGGAGACGCAGATTTGCAGTCCCCTAGTTTTTCAACCAATCCTTTTAGCTACAAATCCAGAGGATTTCTCTCTTAAAGTTTGTTTGACAGCAACAGGTACATTTCTAAACCAGAAACTGATAGTGGCTCAGCTTATCTCCTCAAAAGATAGTGAAGAAAATGATTCAGTAATTGATTTACAGATTCTTAAAAAACTTCAATTTTCCTAAAATCTCTCCTCATTCCAGTATCTTTCCCTCACTTTGTAGCATTGCCTTCTTTTCTCCGAGTGCCCGTCCAGATCTACGTCCATGTAGGCCCATGAGAAACATAAAAGATACATTCAGTGTGTGTGCATACAACAGAAGACCACAAAGCCCCGAGTGGCTGTGGCTACTTCCCATAGACGCGTCCAATTCTCAGCCGCAGCCTGGTGCTCAGGACACAGCCTCAGTAGTTAAGAAAGTAGTAGTTTGTACCTTATGCTGGCAAACGTGCCTGTCTCGGATTCCAGGCGGCTTCTCTCCAACTGGTTCAGGACGTTCTGTCTCTCCCGGTCCAACTCGCGGGTCAGCTTCTCAAATTTCTCTTCCTGAATGGTGTCCAGATTCAAAACAAAAGAAGAACGGAAGCTCATTGGCAAAATCAAGGCTGAGCACGACCCTCGTCAAACGTTAGGTCGTTAGGACGAAGGGGAGAGAAGGTGGCCGCAGGAAGGGCAAAGTAGCAAAAATTACAGTGAAAATGGTTGCTTACTAGTGGCAAACTGTTTTTTCCTCTCTGCAATGTGCTACTACAAACGGTTTTTGGCAACCAACGGCATGACCAACCTTGGTAGGCTGATTGCGAATAGTTGACTAGACTCGTCCAACCATTGTCGACTAACATGAGCTCGGTGAAAGTTAATTGATAATCTCAAATCTTAATAAAATGACTGGAATAAAATGTACCAGTGCAGGTGTACGGCTGATCGTTGAAGCCAACAGGAAAAAACTCTGGAAGCACTTTCTCATTTGGACTCTTTTGGATTTCAATTTAGAAATACAAAATGGCTGCCCATGGAAGCCAGAAATGAAACTTAAACAAGCCCGGACAGTCCCAACTCAATAAAAAATAAATGAAGCCCACTTTCAAAACCTTGGATGTGCTACAGCTAACCTCCACAAATGCACTTCAAAACAAAAAGTAAATGAGAATTATTTTTTGAACTGAAACCATTACCCATTTGCCAACAATATTTTGGAAACAAGCACAACAATACACATAATTGACAATGTCAAAAATCCCCCCCAAAAAAGCGCAGGAAAATGCTTATGTCTGTAAAAGTATGTGTACATCAGCTCGGTAGACCACAAGTGAAACCCAGAGAGAGAGATTCACGGGACCCACGTGTACAAACAGCCCTGACCTATGATGGAAGGAGGAAGGAGGTTTAAGGAAGTTAATACATGAGTAGATTATCCACCCTGAGCTGAAGTGCACCCTAACCGGCGAAAGACAGACAGATGGTACTAAGTTTCCCAACTGGGTTTTAGAACGTTTGGTGTGCACGTGAAGACTATGCATTCTAGACTAAAACCGTTGCGCGTACTCAGCGTGCTCCATGTCAAACACGCATAAAGTTGCGCACCTATGCGGTGTGTGAGTACCAAAGGACTGTCAATTTGATTTCAAAACACGCCCTCTTTTGTTCCTGCTCGGAGCGGATAACCAAAACTAAAATCTCATGATATTAGTCTGTTATGCTGTTAACTTGCTACACAGTACACACGGGCAGAAATTCTGGCAAATCTTGACGCTTTTGACAATGTCCACAAAACACTGACAACTTGGACACCCCCGTTGCAAAATATGGACACCCATTTTTCAAAAGCGGACTGAAGCCCTGACTCTACAGACAAACGTACATGTGTACGCACATCACGCCTCACTGGGGTACCAGTTCATCATTTCATTATTCCGCCAATCCTCACTCCGATCGAATAGCATCTCCCACTCAATTTTTTTCCCCTCCTTAATTCAATCAAAGCATGATATTGGCACAACGAGGCGTGCTGGCAGGGCAATGTTTCTGATCTCTGCCATAACATGTCAGCTCAATTTCGCATGAGCGAGCACGCTCGGATGGATGCCAAATTAGCGTCCAACCGCCTGTCACATCCTCTACCCGCGACAAGCCATTAAGACACGGCAATATCTTTGTGTTAATGACAGAAAAAAGTTCTCGTAAACCAAGTGGGATTGAAAGCAGCGGGGCAGAACTGTGGGGAAATGTGGTCTTTAGAAAAAAAAAGCCAGATGAGCATGATGTACTGGCACTTTCTTCAAAAAGAGGGAAACATGTACCAGTAATGAACGGTGTACACCGTAGAATGAACAACGTTGCAGACATGTACATAATACGAGTGAAAAATGGTTCAAACTCCACAAAAAATCGTCCGAGTGAATGCCTCATTCTTGCAGAAAAAATTTGGAGAAAAAAATCTTTTGAGTGAAAGGATATTACTTGTATATATACATTGCTCAATAAAACGGTTAAGGACCACTTTTTATTTTGTGGCAGGCAGTTGGCCTAGTAGTTAGGGTTTGTAGAGTCTGATCATAGGGTCAGGGGTTCGAATCCATCTGGTGGCAGCATGTTGTGATCCTGGGCAAGTCACTGTACCCCCATGTGCCTCTCTCCACCCAGGAGGAGTAAATGGGTACCTGTGAGGGCAGACACGGTTGTTTAGCCGTTTGCGCCGAAATGGCAGCGCCGGGCTAGTATACTCCCCAGGGAGCTGAGATGGTTTCGGGAATGTTCAGATGATGTGTGAGCCCAATGTGCCGGGATAATGATAATACAGCGACTCGGAATAGCTTGCTAGATAGAGGGCGCTTTGCAAGTGCTTGTCATTATTTTTATTGTGCGTACCTTTTATCTTATGAGATATTTTACCACTGAAAGAGTGCATTTTTTAGTTCTGTGAGAACATCATCTAGACAAACAAAAATGAAAGAACTAGACCCAACTCATTGCTCTGAAAACAAGTTTTAAGTTAAGTAAAAAGTGGCCCTTAATCATTTTGAGTAGCGTATACATGTTTATTTGCGTCCAAATTAGAGCACTACCGGTAACTGCATGTACACTAAATACAGCCCTGAACAAAGTGGAATTATAAATTCACAAAATGAAAGTTGCATTAAAACTGTCATAAACCCTTTTGCTGTGATGTCACAATCGTGCCGGACCGCTACGTGTTGTCATGGTAATCTACTGATACACGTACTTATTCAAAACAAACACAATACATCTTGAAAATAGTTCCCGGTATCCGCTGCTTCACCTGACTCAGACCGGCCAGCCGACCCCGGCAAGCTCGGTGGTCGAGTGGTTAAGACGTCTGCACTAGTAAGCAGGAGGTCGTGGGTTCGAGTCCCACCCGAGTAAGCTTGCAAATTTTTCGCAAGCTCTCGGACAAACACTGAGCATACAGTGTTTATCAATATATACGTTGGGTAAGGGCAAACCCGTTATATCAATTAACATCTCCTCAATGCAAAAATACATCTTGAAAAAAGGTACATGTTTTATAGTGATTAGAGCTTAATGCTGACTGTGTTGCATGTATTACTGAAACCAGGAAAAACTGAAATTGCACATGTAGGAGAGCATTAGAGAATAAAGCAACATTCAGGAACAGCAACATGCAAATTAGATGGGGGTGGGGCAGTGACACACAGACTGACACATACCCTGACGCACATCTTGCAACAGACAGGAACCAAAACAGACCACAAGAACACAAAAGCAAAAGGAACAGGAATTGAGATGAAATAACACCATTCTGAAACCAAGCCTTCAGCGTTGTGCGTGAGTATTCTACACCACTGACTACACTATGCACTGTCCATTCCATGTACATGTAGCAGGCCGTCAAAGGTGACCTACGGGTGGGCTACACCGTAATGCGTTATCTGGCTCCTTTTCTGAGGACTACTGCACACGTGGTAAGAACCAAAAATTGTGTAGTTGCTGAAAATCTCAGAAATGATTAGCAATCGGTTTCATTGTTTTTACCAGGCTGAGAAGTGAATGTACATGTACAGTACGAGTAAATGGCGTGAGCAAGTTCATGAATGCTAGCGTTGAGGTTAACTTGCACCAAAGACCCGAGGTTAGAAAAACTAAGAAAACAAAACAAAACAAAAACAAAACAAAAAAAAGAGCACCAAAATGTTTCAGCCCTGGAAAAAAATTTTTTTTAACAACTTACCACTTCTATTTAACCAGATGTCAAGCTAAAATTCCTGAAACAGCGACAGAGAAAAAGGAAAAGCCCACTGCACTTCAGACACAAACAAGCAAGCCGGCTTCTCAACTCTTAATGGGCAAACGTCTCGACTGCAGAATGTGATTGGTAGAAATATCCACTGACACACGTACATGTGTAGGATACCGTCAATGGACGGCGCTGCACGGAATCCAGGAGCGGTTTTATGATGTCACAAAGGGGCTAGAGACGCAATGTGTGCCCTGGTACTGGTTTGTGCATGCAGGGCATGTGGACTGTGCCATCCATTTTTCGTCGGAATGTGCACAAACCTGAAGCATGTTCAGAGTCTCGTGTGCCTCTTTTTCAGGGCTGACAGGGACCTTTAGCACCAAGTCTGTGCTGATATCAAAGTATGGCACAGCACCCTCCTGTAGAAGTTTGTTACACTTTTGACAGAGAGATTGAGATCAACCTTACTGGTCATCACAGCTACAAACACAATGGATAAAACACGAGACAAATTGGGACAACCTGTCGAGGTACGAACTTGTGGCACTGCACAAAATGAGATGTAGCACTTTTCCATGGACAGGGATTAATGTCAACTTTATATTCAAGCTCACAACAGATTGACAAATGGATGACGAAACTGACCGAATCAATCAGAGTGGCTTAAAGGTCTGATGTGATTGGCTCGTGATGCTCAATGGTCAAAGATGATTGGTCGTCAGAAGGGACAACAAAAAAACACCAAACAGAACTACATGTAAATGTGATTGGTCAATACTGATGAGCAGTAAATCTGATTGGGCCATCCTGTTTCAGCCCTGGGATGCCATTGGCCGAGATGTTGAAAAGGGTGGGGCCTCCTACCTGCTGCTGGACGGTCTTGAGGATGTGGGAGGGGGTGTCGGGTTCTGTGTTCAGGTCTTGCCGGGCCTTGGCGATGGCACTCTTTAGTGCTTGGTCCTGGCCATTGTCCCTATCCGGCATTCTGGGGTGGAACGGGTGCCAAGGAGCATCAAAAACTGATCCGGCTGGTGCAAAGACTGAAAGTCTGGCCTGCAGAAATAACAGGGGAGAAAGGAAAACAGAAGCTGATATACGATAATAAGTAAAAAAAAAAAATGATATTCTGAGCCCCCAAAGTCTTTTTTCCTGTGGTGAGTAGTAAAAAATGGATTCTATTTTTCCTTTGGATTCTCAGTCTCGATGCTGGTTCTTTATCTGGAGGGACAAAGTGCAAGTAATTTGCAATGCAAAGGCTACTTGGAGTTACTCAATGTTTTTGTTCTTATTTAGGCTTTGAAATATGACACCTTGCTTCAGGGCTGAGTCTCTCAACCAACCATTTAGCTAACCAGCTTACCGGTGATTTTTAAAACTACTGCCTCATTTTCCCAAGCCCACTCTGAGGAAAAAGCCCACTGAGATCTGTGCCACTCTCCCGCAACGATGAAAACAAAAAGGCTTCAGTGCTTTAAAAAGGGGCTTGATGCACCTCCAAAGTTCATGTGAACACCAAGAAGATCGAAGAAAGAGAAATCAGTTTCCTGTGGCAATCAAAGTTTTCTGAAGACTGGGGAAAGATTTCTTGGTCTAAGTACATTAAGTACATCTGGGGCTTGGCTTTATTCCACACAAAATGAATGTTCCTGGCCGGTGAGTGTTCAGAAATTGGGTTAATAATACACCACCCTACCAATATGCATAAAAGCCATAAAACGTATACCAGGAAGCCTACAGTACATGTACATGTATGTTGTTGGGAGCACTGTCGGGTTAAGTTCACATCATCAGATCGTCTATAAAACACTACACAATATGACCCAGACATCGGTTTACATTTTTCACATAGTTCCCCCGCTCTTTTGCTTAGGGACCTGACACACATCTACAAAGATAAAAAGACACAGAGTGGGAGAGAAATCCGAGGCCTGTGTTATTTCTAAATCAAACGGAACCAGATTGGGGGTGGGATTGGATAACCGGTGGGCCCCCGTGTCCCCGGGAGGTCGAATCAGGCAAGATTAAAGGGACACTCCTGACCAGCAACGAGTCCATTAGGATGTACACATCAAAGGGGGCTTCGGTTTCCACGGCGAGGGCCTTCATTATCAACAGGTCTGGTTGTCATGGATCCTGACCTCTTGGATCAATATAACCTATCAAGCCCCATGCCCTCTGAAGCTGACGAGTGTGGGTCAGAATTCCTCGAAACTACATGTGTACACTCATGTATGTGCACTTGGCAATCACACTATTGAAGGAGGGCACTCCAGACAGGGCTACAATCCTGGACAAAATAGTTGGAACGCCTTGTGGGAAGCACATTGAAAAGATCCCCCTCTCTCCCATTCAATGTTGCGGTCATTTATTGGACCAAGATTCAACCCAACTTACCTAATGAGAAGCAACACTGACAGGGGGCGAAGGGGAGAGGCATGTTCCAACCAGATTTGTCCAAAAGATCCCTCCTCTCTCCCATTCAATGTTGCGGTCATTTATTGGACCAAGATTCAACCCAACTTACCCAATGAGAAGCAACACTGACAGGGGGCGAAGGGGGGAGGCATGTTCCAACAAGATTTGTTGACCAGGATTGTAGGTCCATGTCCCTCTTTATGTTCACCACACTGAGAGATTGAGAGTTCTCCTGGCACATGTACCATCTTGCAAAATGCACTACAAATGTCACGCCTGTGCATACACGTACATGTATGAGACTATGTGCTGAATATGAGAATACAGCAGCATGGAAATGGCCAGACCAATTCGTGCCTCTGAATTTGTCTTTAAAAACTGCAAAATTTTAGGGGCAGGCGCACACAGAACTGTGTCAAAAATTTCCACTCCATTTCTCCTTGAAACATGGATAGGCCTTCAGGGGAAACGACCCACGGGAGCAAGATGGGTACATGTACACCACCGCCACCCTTTAAAGATCGGGAGGTGGTGCCCTAAACAGGTGTTCCACACCAAGAGACATTTCACAATTCAGGGGACAGACAGACGTTTTTCGCCAATTAATTAGCGGGCATATAATTTAGTATCGGTAGGCACTCGTGAACAGCTGTCGCCATTCGTCATTTTTTGCAGTTGATGATTTTGGAGGCCTTCCAACCATGTTCAATGAAGAAGACTGAAGTGGAAAAATCTTCAGTGACAGATGGTGTCCAGATATTAGCAGCGTCATGTCCGACAACGTGGAACTGAGAAGATTTCACGCATGGACAGTCCCATGGTCATCAAGTGCATACATGTGTGCGGTTGGCACGCGTAGGTGCTGCTTCTCACAGATCTCTAAACTCAGTGGACAGAGAAAAACAGTACAGAACATATTGAGGCCTTGATTGTAGCAGGTAAATCTTTTTTTAAGTTTTAGCCACACGTAAATGCACATTTTCGCAGCCGCTTTTTTTCAGACAGTGCTAAAATTATCTTTTGGTTTTTCAAAATTGCCAATTACACAGGAGTTCTGCCAAGGGCAGAGCAGAACATCACAGACCAGAGCAAGTGACCAGAACAGGCCACAGCGGAATAAACCAGAGCAAAGTGTAACAGGGCAGAGCAGTCTCAGCAGAGCTTATCCATCGGTACACGTATAGGTAACAGAGACAACCGGATTACAGCTGCACTCTTAAGACACAGCATTTGAAAGAAGAGGGCAGTGATAAACCCCACATCGTAGAATCTGCTGGTCTGTTGTCGGGGGCAACCCACATCCTCATCCTCCTCCTCAGTTTGTCGCTTGCCGCTCTGCAATTGATGCTAAGGGGGCCCACCCTGTCTGCTGAGTCACATCGCCATTAATCAATGCTCGCTCGCTGATCCCGGGAGACTCCCACCGGATTATCCATCTGACAGGGCCCTGACTTTATGGCCCCTGCATTGACGACTGACTCACTGCATAATGTGTACCAGGCTAAAAATGCATAAGAGGCTTCATCTAGGGAAACTCCCTTGTCATATTTGTCCACTCTGCGGGGCCATGATTCACGGCATAAAAGGGTCAAGTGCAGATACTTCCATTTCGTCCATACTGCAGGGCCATGACTCATTAAGCTCTGTCTTACAATGATTACTTTCTGTCATTCAATTATCCATCATGACATGCCCTGTCTACCTGACGCTTTCATCTTGTACATTAACTCTGTAAACACCAAAATACATAATGTACATGTGTCTCAACTTTGCCATGCACTATTGGTGGCTTTGAAGAAGTCTACCCCAATTGTCATTAAACATAATTTTCTTTTTGTCTGTTTAAATCACCACCAAACACGTTGCCACGATCTCATACACTTGTAGCCAGATTTATATGAGTGCCTGTATGTACAATGTGTATGGCCAAATGACCAACAGGCAAAATGGATTTTGGACACAGGTAGTTGTCGAATATCATATCTTTAAAAACTATCTCCTTTTGATGAGGAATGGGGACGGGCACATTCTATAATTTCCCATCTCTCAGATTTAGAAGTATTGTTCCGCCCTGACAAGTGAGACCTTTTGACCATCAGCCAGCAATCAGTGCTCTTATACATGTGGCTCAGTACCCCAAACTGTACCTCCCCTTTTTTGTATCCAATCAAGTTTACAATTCTGTACCCTGCGCGCAGGTGTGCATTTTAGTCTCAAGTCTAAGGCCACTGAGCCGCAAAGGACATGGGGCATGTTCGTATTCTTCTCTTATGGAGTACTGAAGTAAATACTGATACATATACGTCAAGCGCATGATTAAGTGCACAAAAAGGCAACACTGTGGGAACCAGCAAAACAATCGCGTACTCCATTAATTTGCACTGCACTTCCTGGTTCCAAATGACGACACTCTTCGGCACTCCATACAATCCCAAGTACAGCTCCTAACACCCCCCCCTCCAAATCCCCGTCGCTTTCTATTCTGTCCGATGCGTGTGTCCTCCTCGATTAAAAAGAGCGCCAACCGCACGCTTCGGTTTTTAGGGCGGTGGCAAGATCAGCATCCAACTGTACAAAGTGCCTCGAGCCCGTCACCTCGTGCTGGCCTGTTGCCGGGGCAACTGCATCAATCATTGGACGGGGGGGGGAGGAGAGATTGCCATCAACTGTCGGAGCAGTTCATGCTGAACTGTCGGATGACAGAGTGCTGCAGGACTCGGCTTGATCTAGATTGGAGATTGCGGGATTGAGGAATTCCAAGTGCCCTCATCCCAGAGGAAACAAACGATGGAGTTTGTTTCTGTCTCCATGGATCGTTATCACAAAGAACCAGACACAGTGTGCATATATGTGCCACATCGGTACTTCCACTGCCTTGTTCCATGTGTAAGAGTGCAAGCGGAGCATACATGTGCCTGGAAAATATCTAATTAACAGCCATTACAGAGCAGTGGAGAGTACAGAACTGACCACACAGTGCATGTACATGAATGTCAATGGCGTATCAGGGAGGGGGTGGATACGTTGCTCCTTGGAGACATATAGACAATTTTTTTCTCTGAAGTGAAAGAGCAAGCTTTTTTAAAATACTCCCATTTCCTTTCCTTTTCTTTTTGGGTGGGTGGGGGGAGGAATAAGGATTCTTTTACAGATAAAAAAAATTTTGAAGTGTCGTTTTCAGAAAATGTCCATTTCTCCCCCCTACACCAAAATTGACTACATTTACACGTCCCCAGCCCAGTTTACCGGGTAACTTCACAAGCACAGCTGAATAATAGATGAGTTTGTGCACTTTATTTTTTTTATTTATCTCAACAAATCACACAAAGACACTGGACCGTACCATAATCAGGACTGTGTACGGAATACACATGTGTAATGTACTTGTACATTGAAAAAGTTATTAAAAAAAAGGGGAGGATATTCCATCACAGAAAACAGACCTGAAGCATAATGTCACGCTTTGGTCACATGTGCCGTTTCCTCCGGGGCCTCGATGGACTATGTCCCACCTCACTGCGATGGGAAAGTGCACATGTACACAAAACGTGACATGGTTATGTTGCTGGTGGATTGAGCTTGAAAGTGCAACTGTATTTAAGCATGCCAGATATGACTGAAAATGAACTTCCATAAAT